ATATATATATATATATATATATATATATAAAATATATATATTGAGATCATATCAGCTCACCACCATACTCTACCTCCCTCCATATCATGACTCCTCCTTTCCTCACATCTCCATCTCTTCCTGTATATATATATATATATATATATATATATATATATATATATATATATATAATATATATATATATATATATATATATATATATATATATATATATATATATATATATATATATATATATATATATATATATATATATATATATATATATATATATATATAAACTGTATATATATATATATATATATATATATATATATATATATATATATATATATATATTGATGGGTTGTCAGACCACAGCATACATCTCAGAAATAGTCCAGACTTGACCCGACATTAGGGAGGTCAAGTGTAGGTTATTCACTTAACGCGTTTCTCACTTTACGCGGGACCCTCCGGGCTACATTAACCGCGTAAAGTGAGGGTTAACTGTACTGTTCAGTATTGGTAATGTAGAATATTTGAAAAAAATGTGGGTTCAGAATAACTTTGACTGTATATTCCACATATATATATATATATATATATATATATATATATATATATATATATATATATATATATATATATATATATATATGCTGATAACCACAAGGAAAGAAGAAAACACGAAGTTCCCAAGCGCTTTCGTGTAACTCACATCTTCAGGGGTTGTCAGACCACAGCTTACATCTCAGAAACAGTCCAGACTTGACCCGACATTAGGGGGGTCAAGTGTAGGGTAACTCTCGCGGCTGACCAAGGGTTATAAATCAGCCAGGCTCCCCTCCCATGTCACACGGCCCCAACAAACATGTAAGAAGGCACCGGCTGACTCTCTCCCAATATACACAATAACCTACACTCCAGAAGAAAGTCCAGACCTGACCCTACATTAGCGAGGGCAAATGTAAGGAGACCCTTCGCCGCCCCCCCGATCAGCTCAACCTGACGGCTCGCCTCCCAATATATAGGACGTCCTAGTCCTCCCTCTGCCCAGAGAGAGACAGAGAGAGAGTGTGTCTTGTAACCAAGAAGGGCCAGCTACCACGTCCCCAGTCCTGCTCGAGAGAAGTCAGGGGCCGGAGGCAAGCCGCCTCCGGTCGCCTCCGGTCGGGAGCGAGTTGCCCTCGACACACCGGTGCCCAGCTAAGCAGTCTCCCATAGAGACAACCCAGGACCACCTGCTAGGCCTCCCCTAGGTCACGTGAGTTTTTGTCAGAGCTTTCCATGGGATGAGTTACTTACGTGGGAAGTGTATTCATTTCAAGTTCGTGTCCGAGAATCAGAGTGTCTAGTAACGTAATATGATGTCCTAGTAACGTAAATATAATGTCCTAGTAACTTCAATAGAAGGTGTTATTAATGTGTCCATGTCATGTTCGTAATTAATAAAGAGTTGTAACGAAGCGGTGTTTGAGAAGTCGCCCTTAAGACGTAATAGATGTGTATTGAAGTATAAGATAAGTGTATTGACAGTGTGAATAACTATCACGGCCACGCTACCAAAGTCCTCTCTCTTTTATACTCTTATACTATCAATATTCTACCTATATGTAATCTTCTTCTTGTGAGATTTGTCTCATTACATATATATATATATATATATATATATATATATATATATATATATATATATATATATATATATATATATATATATACACACGTGACCAACTGCCCAAGCCTATCAGTGGTGAAACAATGCTTTTCCAGGAATTAATGAGTCCACGCCACTAGTCACCAGTAATGCTTTGCTATCTAGAGCTACCATATCAGCAGTGGGTGATATGTGGTCTTAAACAGATACCTACTATCACTAAAACAAGCTCATGCAAGACCAGACTTCACCAACACTGGAGCAGGTTCAAAACAAGCTAGTACCTAATTATAAAATGTGATGTCGAAAGAATAAGATTCAGTGATGTTTGCCATGAATTGAGTAAAAGAAAATGGGTTAGATCAGCTGTTCTTGTACAGTACAGAAATAGTTTTGTTTACAAGAAGCACAGCTAGCTGGTGGACACTAATAGGATTAAGTAATAAATAAATGGAAAAAAGTACCTCCGTATCAATTTAATAATAACCTGTAGAAAAAGGGGAAGAAAAGTTCTCGTATTATTTTTCGGAGGCCCCCAATATCTCGTAGGCCCTAGGCACTGTGCCTACTGTGCCTAATGGATAATCCGGGCCCGAATATATCCAGTAGCCAGCACATGCTAACAGTCAACAGTTAATCTTATAAAAAACCAGGCTTTTACGCCCTTAGTGCATGAGTCATAAAGGCAAGCATGAACTAGCTTGCTTCCCAGGTGGGCGCTGTAAACGCTTCGGCGCTTCACCTTGCACAGGATGTAAGGGGGTGCCCAATAAACTAGTCCCCTCGGGGGCAATCTAAGAAAAAATACAAATCTATCAACATACTGATGACCCCTGTCTCCAGCATGTTATTATTATATGTGTATTTGTGCCATGTCCCTTGACGTCACTGACATGTCTCGTACCGGAACATGTCGGGTACATAACTCACATTAACCAGTTGTCCAGTTGTTTCATGTACTTAACAATCATACACCAATAAATAAAATTGCATTGTCTTGCACCTTTTTTTTAGGCTTACAAAATAAAACATTCATATATATATGGAATCACTACAGTACATTTAGACATAATATGTCACTGCATGGACTTGGATTCATGGGCTTAAATATTGTTGAAACCGCTAGCTTCACAAGTTCACAACTACGTCATCAAGTTTCCATAGCCCGTTGTTACCCTTTTCTCTAAGTTTACTTAAAAAAATTTCCACATTGACTTTTCTCATGTTACGCTGGTTCAAATACTCTTGCCTCAGTCTTATGCCACGAAAAACGTAGCAAATATAAGAGTGTGATAGTGATATCTACGATTTGGAGCTTGTGAACAGTATAATCCCTTACCTCTTGGAAGCTTATAGAAGGTATATCCCTCTTCATTTACGTACACATTTCAGGAAAGAAATCTGTTTGTAGCACTATGACTCTAGTAAACACATGGACGTGTCAAGTTCATGCAAGAACCGTTGCACAGTACAGCCACCAGCTGAGTGAGTGCCTGGGTGGTTGGAGCTGTGATGAGTGAACCCAGTGAGGGCTCGGGACCGGTAGTGGCCTCGGTAGAGGTAGTGGGTGAGTCGCGGCTGCGTAGTGTGGAATCGGCATGTGTGGACTCTGGAAAGATAATAAAGTTGCCAATTCTCGAAAGTGGGGTCTTCTTTATAATAATAATAATAATAATTACAGTATTAAATAATTATATTTTTCAATAAAAACGTCGTAAAATTTTTAAGTGGATTGGCGATTGTGTATACAAAAAAAATGCAGGTACATATACTGTATTCAGCATGTGCAAATAAATGAGTGTATGGGGCGTGATCCATGTTTATACCGATAACCGCATAGGAAAATAGTAAACACGAATTACCCAAGAGCTTTCATGTATTTCACATTTTCACTTCACCGAATTGGTTGATTTTTTAAATTTCTTTAATGACCATGCACACATACGCCAGAGAAGAAAATAATATTAATATATATATTTTTTTACACAAATTATAAAATTTTCCAAGTCATTTTAAGCTGTTTCAAGATTGACCAACACAAGCAGGTTCAGATACATTCAGGAGCCAGTACATGACCAAAGATGGTCTTTGACGTGACCTTGCCAACAGTACGTAAGAGACGTGACCAACCGTCCAAGGTTAATAGTTAAAAGATTAAAAGTTATTCACGTCTAATAGGTGTGAACCTGTCCTGAACCAGGCTTCACAAACGGTAATGGCTCCATTCCGTATTGTCTGGTGCTATTATTATACTGGCAAAGTCACTCACCTGGCAATTATTCAAGGTTGTGTAAACGTACAATATCACAGGTGAGACCTTTTCAAATATTTATTAGTTTGGGCAAATTAAGAGTTTTCACTGTAAATTTAATTATACGTCTTTTTGGAATCTGTCAACTCAGCGACTAGTGGAGCAGCTATGGTGTAGGAGGACGGCTCACTCCAAATTTCAAGTCAAACGTGTTCACCTTCGAATAAGGCGGCTACTAGGTATATACGAAATTATAATTTATAGGTAGGAAGATGCACATTTAGGCGATTTCATGTATATTTATTGTCTTGTGTACTTTTTGTAAACCATCTGCAATGTCACATAATTACTGCGCAGTATTAATTGCTCCAACAAAAGTAAAAATAGCAGAAGCCTGTCTTCCAAGGATCCAGAGGCGAGTCGTAAAGTTACTTCTCGTGTTTTCTTTATTTAATGCATTTAGTACTGATAACGTTCCACTTTACAGAATTGCTAGTTAACATCAGAGTATCATTAGGATACTGTATAAAGAATGTGTCGAGTAAATACAGCACAGAATATGAATTATGTAATAATGGAGATACAAATATGTATTGAGCAGACTGTTTGGGTAGTATGGACATAGTGAGGAGTGAAAGACGGGTAAAATAAGTTTATAGCTCAGAGGAGGATGGTAGGAGGAAGGGCAGAAGGACAAGAATGAGATTAAAAGATGGAGTGAGGAATTTTTTACAAGCGTTCATGATTGAGTGGAAAGTTTGGAGTAATGAAACCCTTGGGAAATGATGTGGTGCTCGTGGGCGATATTGGCTTATGTGAAAAAATAGGGGTAAACCACATGGATATTTGTCTATTACAACAGTATGACTGATTAAATGAATGAAGAAAGGAATTGTTCGTGTACGTGTTGCCTTGATTCCAGCCATTTTGTAATAAGCGAGTAAAACCTAAAAAAAAAAAAGTATATATTAATATAATAATTTCCTAATATCTGTAAGTATAATTTACTTTAAAATGATTATTTGTAAAACTGGTGTTTATGCTACTGAGAAAGCTCTTCAGCCTTCATATTGGTAAGAACAATAAAAGCGGTGCATTATGCCGTCCTTATTTTTATCATTTTTAATTTATTTGTATTCCATTATTCTGCAGTATCATTTTGTTAAAGGAAATCACTTGCACATTGCAGAAACATTCACTCATAAAACGATTACAATTGAAAATAATAAAAAAAGGCCTTGTCATATAAACATTCCTTATATCATGAAATACAGTGCAGTACAATGTAATTTGCAATCAATGACCAGCACATTAATACTTAGTCTAATACAGTTCTTCACATACATAAGCACAGTACTGTATAAAATAATCAGTGCAAGCACTTGAAGTGCCTTATAGAATACAGATTGAGCAAATTTAATAAAAAAAAAAAAAATTACTGTATACAAAAAGTCTCATATAAAAGTTTAAGTTTTTTTTAACAGGCTCTACTGTGAGTATGAAGCATATATTTCTAGGTATCTTGGATGAAAGGATAAAAACACTCAAATAAATTTTGCCAATACAGTACTTAAGGAATGTGAAAAGCTGCACAGGTTCAACGTGTACAATTGGATTGTGAGGAAACTGTATATTTTTGTGATTATGCTATGTCATTTAATGATACAATATGGCAGACATTAGCTGAACATGAATTCAAGGCCTGGATCAGTGCCTATGTAGTCTAGCCTAGGCTTAGATTACTTTACTGCAATGTAAGTAGAGCTAGGCATCCAAATACCAAAAATATTTGAATACTGAAATGCAATCAGTTACAAGGTTTTTGGATAAAGGCTGCATGACCCGTTTTGCATGATATACGTACAGTACTGTAAAGATAAACTTTATTAGTAAACTATATAAACAGTAGCTTCAGATACAAAATGTACCGGTAAACTAATGACTACAATAAGCAGGAATGCTGATTTTCCTCATCATACTTTAATTATAAAAAAATATACACTACAGCTACAATATCGAGACCCCTTTTGAGTTAATAAGATTGGATGAAAATATCTTGGTAAATAGACATTTACAGTACTTTGGAGAGGTAAATCCTAGGATTTAATACGAGTTTCTCATACTGTGATATTATAGGATAGGAGGCTAGTGGGCTACTTCACCACAGAAGGTAGTCTCTCTCACAAGCTAGTCTATTACACAGGTGATAAAAACATATAATAAAATTAAATAGAAATTAAGTCCTAAATCTTAAAAAAAGGGCAATTTTCAGTGTGACATCACCTTTGTGATGCAGTAGCTTCTATAGCATAACTGCACTGTGGTTTTCTGCTGCATTAACTTAGTGACTGATCATATTCAACATGTATGTAGGCCTGGCTAAATATACGTCATTAACTAATAGGTTGCCTATACCCACACTGGCACAGCCATAATCATCACTGACCTTTCAATGCCACAAACCACAATAAGCTGGCTTGAATATTCCGGTAATGCAGATATAGCACCATTCATTATAACAATTAACACTCTATAAGTATCCATTCCAATAATGATCCATTAGCACTAGTAGTTTCAAAGTGAGCACACTATGATAACTAGGAATCTAACTGTTACTGTACTGACCACAAACCAAAACAAAAGCCTGTACATCATTGTCCCTAGGAAGAGGAACCTATTCACTACTTCCCAGTTTATCAAGGAAATTAGAAAGAACAAAGTGTATTACTATCTGGGTGAGAGCAAACATAACAGTGATTAATGTTGTCTGAGAATTAGCCAAAAATTTATTTAGAAAATGCACAATAAGGAGGGTGGACCCCCAATCCATTGCCAATAGTTCAATAATCATTATCCTGAAGTCACCTACTTGAATGCAAGAAGCCACATTACAAGATATAAGATTACTGTATGGGGAATAATCCCCAAATATTTTCTGCAGAAAGAGAAGATCTTAAATCAAATGACATAATGGGAACAGTGAAGAATGAAGGTGAGGGAAAAATGGCATAAAACTAGTCAGAAGTGAACATTAACAATGTTAGTAGTTTGATGGGTTACTCAGCCTTAATGGGAAAGACCGACACAAGAACTGCACAAACAAACAACTAAAATGCTAACAATGAACAACTGGGTCATAATTGACAGACCTACTGAAGGATTCCCAATTGCCCTACGACTGGGTATGAAGATGTACATAAAAAAAAACCCTATGCAGGAATATACTATGGAGATCCAATTTACCTCCAGGCAGGATCAGAGGTTTATGCTGTTCTCCAAAAATAGAACTTTCCTAAACTCTATATCAGGAAATACACTACGGGTATATGGTTTTTAAAAAATGCATAAAATTATAAAATTTTCCTATGGAATGGAAAGGATAAGATTATATCACCGAACACAGTGGTGTTCAGGTACGTACTCAGATTTGCTCTAACCCTACTGAGAGGTGTGTATCTAGACCGCAAAGAGAATACCCCCTGTACATCGGTGACCAGGCAGGCAGTTGGGGGAATGGGTGATGCCACACTCCACAGGTCTGAATATTGCTTTTGTATTTACCGATTCATTATTATATCCCTTTATGATCAGCCTCTTACGGCGTACAACCATTTGTAAATAATACAACACCTTCAATAACAGGATAAAAAATACAATATAATGTACTGTATTATATATCTAATTTGACCTTAGAATAAAGAGATTGTGAGTATCTAGAATGTGGCAACTCACTTCCTCTCCTCCCATGTCACCCTATGTTGTTTGATCAGGCAGAATTGACATTGCAATATTTTAGGTAAATGAGGATAAAAACCACTTACAGTATTATGATGAGAAATAAAATAATAAAAGGTGCCACAATAATTGAGACTAGAAAAGGGCTGTGCATATGAAGGCTGTAGAACCTGAGGTCAATTACACAGCACAGTAGTATGTACAGTACAATGGTGTTAAAATTAATAATTTCAATAACAAAATCTGAATAAAAAATGAAAGAAAAGAAAAGTGTACTGTACTTGATGATGATGGTACTACTACAGTACTGTATTAATTATGATCAAAACTAATTAGCCTTGCATCCTCTCTTATGAGAACGTTAATACCCCTGTACACACACTTGTATTTTTACAGTATACATTAGAGGGAAAAATTAATTTATGACTAAAATAGTGCATTTTAAGAAGATTTCTTTGTACATCCAGCCTCTTTAAACAAATCATAAGTTTCTCTCAAGATTAAATAGCCACCTTAATTCTAGATCACAAAATTTGAAGGTCCCTAAATCTTAAGGCTAACTCACAGCCTATTTTGCAAGACTCAAAGCATGGAGGGGAAACTTTCCGAAAGTCATTTGTCCCGATGACAGTCATTTTCACAAACATTTAATTTGTAAAAACTTCATGGTAAGAAACAATAACTAATCAAATTATTTAGCTTATGTAATCACAGATCATCATACAGTTGAGTCTGTTACACTTATGGTTATTAGAAGAGCAAAATAAAAAAAATATTTTTTGTGTTTTGCCCATTTTCCTTCCCTGAATGTGTTTTCCTATGATATACTGTACTTTAAATAAATTTTATGGATGATCCAGGATGATTTACAGGTATGTAAAGTACCTAATGTTGTGTGTGTGTGTGTGTACACCCACTAAAAAATTATTCGGCACCCGTCTCATATTGTATCAGGCCGTAAGGGTGCCAAATAATTTTTTATTGGGTGTACAGTAATGTTTGGTGTACAACATTACTGTACATAATACTTCAAAATTAATGTACACCAAATAAAAAAATTGGGGCACCCTTACGGCTGATACAATACGACACGGGTGCCGAATAATTTTTTAGTGGGTGTACATATACACATACTGTACTGTAAATAAAGTGATGTTAAACAATGTAGAATTATGAAATTAATGTAAAAAATGGGATTTTAGTTCCAGATTTTGGTGATGAATAAGATGGGATCCCATTCTTTGGTGTGGATGTTTGTTAGTTGGGTGTTCATAACTTGGGACTGACAGAAGAGTATAAACAACGGTTTGCCAAGGCTCTCAGTAGTGCTGTCAAACACTGGGATCATAAGGATGGAGAATACCTGTACAGTACTTATTACTGAACTGATCTAAAATCTTCTAATACAGTAGTATGTTTAAATATCAAGTTTTGTTGGACTACTTTATTCCTTTTTTGGAGTTCATGCCTTCCCCACACACACACATAATTTCTATTTCCTTTCTAAATGAAATGAAGTCAGTTAAAGAAGCACAAATTCCCCTCTCCCCCACTCTTATTCTAATACACTGTACATTATTAACATGCCTCATGGGACAACTCAGTATTATAAGGTGAAAGGTGAGTGCATATAAATCAGCCAAAAAATAGCACCTTTAAGTGTAATTTAAGTATAATATGACACTTCACCACACTGACTACACATGGAATAAAACAATTAGGATTTTCACTCAACACAAAAAAATTTCCAAACATCTTAAGCTACTAAGCATATTTTTTCCTGACCTACCTTATGCATTCTTTATACTCGTATTAGTTTGTTCAATGTAAATGAAAACATTACAGTACTGATTTAATTATGCTATTAGGAATTATCGTATAAAAATAATAAAAAGTACAGTACTGCTGATAGAGTACAGCTAGAGTAACTAACATACTTCTGTTCAGCAAATGCCCAAATTCATTCTTTAATTTATACTGTATTGTATTATGTAAGTACAGTACATTAATTATGATCATTTTTATACTAAGTAATACTTAAAATAATCAGTGCACATTATTTGTTGAATATTAACAATGGAACAATCAAGATCCAATGACTACTCAGCTGTTTTTCACAATTTACCATACATGAAATTGAAAAAAGTATAAGCTGTGTTGCTCTTTAAGATATGTTATAGTTCCACCACTTCTTTCTCTTCATTTAAATCAATTGTAGGGTTAAAACAGGACGGCAGCCCACCAGCCTCCATCATCTGTAAGAAGGATTAGAATCTGTGATAGGTAATTTTCATAAGTTACTTCTACTGTATATATAATGTACAGTCAACCCTCTTTGTATTTGTACATTTTTTGTGCAGTTTCATTTATACTTAGTCAAGGAACTGTGACTCTTTATTATTTGTACATGGTCTGGATTCACTACATGGTTCAACCATGCTGCCACCATACATGGTTCATGTGCAATTAACGTGCTTTGGCTCACCATCCCAGCTGCACCATAACCCCAACTTGCATGCTGTCGACCCACTCACGGTACAAATTAGTTTACTGTCTGCTTTTGTTGAGTAATGATACACAGTCTGCTTACATTTACCTGGAGTTCATCACCTTCAGTGGTTATTACCAGCTCAAAGACAAAAGCAAGTGAAAATCCTCAAAAACTGATATATGTGTGAAAAAGTAGTAAAAAAAAGCATCGACTTTGAGATCTTGGAAAGACTTTCTAAGGGTTAAAAGTCATCGCTGCTGCTGCACCCGAGAAGCTAAAGTGTCATTTTATAGTTGTGATACTATACAAAAGAAGGCCCTGAACTTATGGATTGAGGATGAAATGCAGAAAAAAGTTTCACCGGAAGGACCAATGACTTGAGAAAAAGCAAGACATTTGTAGAAACACTCATTTTACAAAAATGCTGTTCAGGTGAATTCTCAAACTTCTGACTTCAACACCAACATTATCATCATTTTAAGTCATCTTGTTACCCTTTAGTATTTTGTTTGCAAAGTTTCTATTTTCACAGCATTTTTCACAAAAATAGCCACTGTGTAAATTGAGGGCCAACTGCATATAATACAGTAACATCACTATTAGTTGGAATCTTCAATCCCTGGAACTTTCCATTACCAGGATATTTTTTTAGCATTCTGAGAAATCTCTCTCCTTTCCATTCATTTGAACTAATTTCTGAGTGACTGCATCATGTGTGGGTGGGTAGGCTCAGAGTGCTCATGAGCTATGATTGGCTACTACTGTTTTGAGACACGAAACTTGGGAAAAATAAAAATAAAAAAATATATATATTGGTGCTCCTCTACTTAAGAACGTTCCACTTACAAACTTTCAGAGATACAAACATCATCACTGAGGGGGGGTTACCTACCAGAACAGGTGTTTAATGTGGATGAGATTGGACTATTTTGAAGAAAATTCCAGATAGAACAAACATTACCTAAGAGGAGAAGAGTGAGCCAGGTTTTAAGGCTGTATTAAAGGGTATAACTGTACTAAATATCCATAATCTTTTCATTTTTTACAATATGTTATGTACCTACAAGAATAAAGTTGGACTACAAACAAGCCTCAGGAATGTAACTCATTCGTAAGTAGAGGAGCACCTGTACATTACTGCATTGCTAATCATGAGGGCCATTTGTCATTGTTGTGGAACAACGAGGCACGGACCACGCGATCCTGCCAGCTTAGCCCAAACACAACAACATAGTTGCCATGCTGCGCTCACTCATAACCTTCATAGAATAAGGTAAGAAATTTATTTTCAGTACTATATTTTTTTTTTAAATACAACTGACTTTATGGTTATTTTATTCTATTAAAACAACATTCACCAGTCAATTGAAAAGGACATTAATAATTAAAGAAGTGGAGCTGAGCATGTACGTGTGGGGGGAGTGAAATGAAAATGCCATCCATCAGTGACCTCCACCACCAAGCACTGGAAAGGTTTGGCAGCCAACTATTGCACCACCCTCGCCATCGCCACCTCCTGCCACCGGCAGCCCCCCACCCACCTCGCGCAGTCCGCCACTACAACAAAATTCAGCCCATAAGAGCCCGCACCGATAGATATAAGAACAAGGCCTGATTTATGTACTGTACAGCCCTGTAAATGTATTCAATACATATTATATCATTATTTTTAAATCAAATGTAAGTGTATATTTTCAGCCACTGGCTGCAACTCTATTAATAAACCGTTTAGAATTATTATTATTATTATTATTATTATTATTATTATTATTATTATTATTATTATTATAGTGGTGGTGGTGGTGCTGGGGAAGAGACTGTGGTGGTGGTGCTGTTACAGTAATTGTGGTGGTGTCGCCATGGCTGGTGCCAGTAATGTTACCATCTCTGTTCACATGAGCAACAAGATGTACGAGTATCATTGTAGTCTGAACACTTCCGAGATAATAATAATCAATACTGTACTGGACTAAATCCAACACTAACTGGTTCCCAGATGAATTCAGAATGAAATACAGTACTGTATACTGTAAGTGATTATAGATTATTAAACAAACAATATTAGTAAAATACTTTTAAATTAATTTAGGAATCTCACCGGGGTTGGGGGCTGAGGCAGCAGCCACCTGCCTTGCTCTGTCTGTATCGCTCAGTGTTTATGCAATACTGTACAGTACTTTGCTGATGAAATAAGTTCTAAATAAAAGAGAAACACAAAATTTTCATACCAAATTGAAAAATGCATAAAAGTGTTTATTCTAGATGCTCTTGATAATTTGAATATAAAAAATGGTTACCAGTAAATCAGCAGCAGCGTGTGGTACACTGTAAACTTCACACCATGCTCTAAGTTTTGGGAGAAGGTTTATTGAGTCAAGAGGTGAAGTACTTCCTGCCCACACTCCCTTCACATCCTTCATGTCATCAGTAAGCTCATAGTCAACCTCCATCTCTGAAACATAAATAATAATTCATTTCAGTATATTTGACTCATATCTCATGCATGAGAGTTGTCTTGCTTTCTGAATTAAATCTTTTTATGGTCCTGGAACCTGATCAATAGATCAATGAGTCATTCTCATGCCTGTGGGATGGTGACCATGAACCAAGCAGGAAAACACAACATTTAAGAAAAATGCTATGTAACCCTTGTATACGGAATAACAAATTTCAGAGCAACAGATGAAGCAAACATTAAAGTTGTAACAAACAGTTCAACTGCAATATAACTTATGAGCTATGAACACAATTCATACAGACAACATTTCTGTCAACTGTAAACCATATCTTACTGTAAACAAAAGAAAGCAATGACAACTCAATAATATAAACATATCTGACTGACTGTGCTGACAATTTTTCTCACCATAAAGATCATACAACAGGCAACTAAATCTAAATCTGTTTGAAAATAAGAAGGTTCCTTGCATTGTCCCAAATAGACTTTAACCCCTTCACTATGGGATGCCATTTTTAATATTTTATTGGACTAGAGCCAGATGTTTTTATTAGGCACAGAGAGACCCCTCGTACCCAAGGGATTAAGGCAGGGTAATCCTTGTTTGTTATTGCTATGCAACTGTAACACATAAAATTATGCCTGATAGCAGTACCTGAGGCCTAATTACAGGCAGTCCCCGACTTATGATGGGGTTAGGGACCCAAATCCAGGTCGTGAGTTGAATTGGTCGTAAGTCGAAAATGCGAAAATAATACGTACATATAAAATCCAAAATGGGTGTCTCTTTTTCTTCTCAGCACCACAAAACTCTCACTTTTAAGCTTGCCAGCCATTTTAAAGGGAATTACAAACGAAAATTTTGTCAGTACACAGCACAATCACTAACGTCGGGACTCGAAAATACGTAATTTGAAAATTTTTTGGTACTACTGCAGTGGTCGTATGTCCGGGTGGTCGTAAGTCGAGGAGTACCTGTACTATAATTTTTACACACTTAATGAAAATGGGCTTAAAAACATTTCCTTTGTATTTTTATCCATTCATGAAAATAAAATAAGAATAAAAAAAGACATCTGGTGGTGACTTTTTAACATATGCAGTATAAAGTAAAGTAACTTACCAACTGACAATACAAGCCGTAGGTCCACCTTATTTAGGCAGATTCCGTATAAGAAGCACTTTTCTCTTGAGAAGGACACGTGATCACCGCTTTCTAACCTTAGTTGACCAACTTGACAACGAAGATCAACAATATGGCCTCTTGGAACATCCTGCAAAATTTTTAGTGTTTATAATCAATAAGCCACAGCACATTAATAACTAAAACTATTTTATATACAATTAAGTACCAAAGGATGCAAAGCTAAATTGATGATCAGGGTAAAATGATCATCATCTACTGTATACAATATATTTAGGCTTGTGTCCAGAAATTTGAAAAATCAAAAAATTCGGCACACTTCTGGTCCTATGCTTGATGGATCAAGAGTCCAGTACATGTATGTATGTACTGTATTTATGTATATACAGTGGAGACCTGTGGTGTAATAGCCAGCATGCTCGCCTTGCAAGCGAGCAAACCCGGGTTCGATCCCTGGGCAGGGTGAAACAATGGGCAAGTTTCTTTATGCCATTTGCCTCTGTTTACCCAGCAGTAATTGGGAACCTGGATGTTAATTGATTTGCAAATCATATTCCGGGGTAATGGTTAGCCTGTGCAGTTGGCGAGTTGTCCAGTCTTCTCAGACTATTCTTTGACAACGGGTCATACAACTCGTTAACTTAAGGTTGGTTGTTGTGTTGGCAACAGCTACTACACCTTAAACAAATTCACACCTAGGTGGCCCTTGGACCAGCCATCCTCATTACACGAGGGGCAGCCATTATATATATATATATATATATATATATATATATATATATATATATATATATATATATATATATATATATATATATATATATATATATATATATATATATATATATATATATATACAGTATATATACAGTAGTATCCCGCTTAACGCGGTCAATTGAACCCACAGGGTACCGTGTTAAGTGAAAACCGCGTCAAGTGAACAACAGAACATATGGGATTAATTCCAATAGAGACTGGCCCGACCCCCAAACTCCACTTTTTGACGACACACAACTATGTTGTAGTGAAAATATTATCTTAAATTTATGATGGTATGCACACACAATTAATAATTAACAGAAATATCAATAATATTAGGTTTATTAACACTTACATTAGTAGAAAAGATGACTGGGCACATGGGGATGGGGGGTTGGTTCCGAGGCAGAGGGCAGATTATTGGCCCTCACCTGTATCACTTGTATCAATTGTATCACTATCCACCACAGAGGCTTACAGGGCCTCTTTGTCAAACCCCTCAAAGTCCATATAAGTCCATATCCTCACTATAATTATCACTATAACTGACTTGGACCGGCTGTGGTGGGTGGTAGGTGAAGAACTCAGTAATGTTTTGATGACTGGGCCACCTTGTGCGCATCGTGCCCGCGCCGCTTCCCGCGTATATGAGTAGATGAACCGCGTTAAGTGAAAGTTCGGTTCTGGCGAGGCACCGCGTATATGCGAAATCGCGTTAAGTGAAACCGTGTTAAGCGGGGTAATAATGTATGTATGTATGTATGTATGTATGTATGTATGTATATATATATATATATATATATATATATATATATATATATATATATATATATATATATATATATATATATTTTTTTTTCATGTAGATCCACAATGAAAACGCTGACAGGATAAATCTCGATAAAATCACACATACTGTATATGTTTGAGGACTAGTTTTACAGCTCTTTTGTGACTCCAGAGAAGAATTGTAGGGAACAAGAAATGTCATTTAAAATTTAATTATACTGTTCTTATACTTTAACCTCTTCACCACCTTTCCTTGATTTTCTTTTTCATAGCAACATAAAGGTTGTATTGGTGCCACCCAATAAAACCTCAATCTTGCAGCTTTTGGATCAGGGGGAGAACATTTGCTCAGGCAATAAGTGAGACCGACGGTGAGGATGCTAAGAGACTCGAGTACTTTCGGGAAAATTATAACATTTACCATGCTGCAAAGAATAATGCTGCATCTTGGAATCAAGTAAAAAAACACAAATTTAAATCGTGTTTGACAAAAATATTTGCCCTCAATTCACAAACAACTTTAAAGGTTTTGAGGAGCCAGTGTAGAGTGCAAATGAAAAGCTTGTTTTTATGGGAAATCGGCTTCAATTCTTTATATTTCTGTGAAATTATGAGCTTACAAAAATCCGTACAGTGTGTTGTATGTTGCAATAAACTCTAAAACACCATACAGGAGACTGATACAAAGTACTCTGTGTTCACCTTCACATAATTTACCTACTTAAATTTCTTACCATATTTTTATTGTTGCTCAAAGACAAAACATTAATTTGTTTCATTTTTTGTTTGGCTCCAGTTGAGGGATGAACTAATTGAGATCCTTCCTGAATATTCTGCATTTGTTTCCTCAATCTTGCTGCCACTGACTCCGTTTTTTCAGTTTCTTTGCATGATTTTCTAAATCCATGTATTTCCTGAAATCAATCAATCTTGTTAAAACATGATACAGTGGTCTGTCGTAATACAGCAAGTTCTTAAAAAAAAAGGAGTTATTTTTTTCTAGTAAACTGTGCATGTCTTTTATATTAAGAATAAATTAGCAAATTCCAGTTATTAATACAAGGCTGCAAAATTGAGTGACCTATTTAACACTTTTTTGATAACAGCCTAGTGGATTATCTTGTCACCAAGACAAATAAATACATTACAGTATAGTAATCCCCCAATTTACTATCTCCCTATCTACAATATTTTGTTTGAACGATGGTCATGTGTTCTCACCACCCCCCTATTTATGATAAAAAAAATTAACATGAACAATGGTCATCATCCTGCCAAAATCGCTGACGTGCGGAATAAGGAAAGAATCTCTCACTTCACTTGTCTGCTGTGGTATACCCACGCACCACCATGCGGCCACCCTGTGCATTACAGTCTCAAGCTTTATTCCATGTTGATGACACATGCTTGTGATCGTACAACTCTATGCTTATTGGTCAGTATCGGTGTTGTTACTGATTCCCTCCCCCCCTTTTTTTACCTTACAGTGTGAGGACATCACTAACGTTCACATTGTACTCTTGTTTTGGTGACAGTGAAGTAACTTTTGCCGTTTTTTTTTTTTTTTGGTGACTGTAGAGTGTTTTGTCTCTGGTGTTGTGAACATGATGTGAGCAGTGTCGGCCACTATCATTGTTCGCTGTTTTTGTGACCGGTGCTTTCACTGTTTTTGTGGCTGTGAAGTGAGCAGTGTAACTTTGAATATTACTGGGAAGGCCAAGGCACTGAAGAAAGCTGTCTCTGGATGTGAAGCTTGACATTGTTAAGCTGTGTGGGAGTCAGAGTAATGTCTCCACTCCACCAAGTCCCCTCCGCTTCAAAGGGACCATGTAATGACAACCAGACTTTTTTTTAATGATGTGGGGAGTGTTGTTTAATTATTTTAATTATATTATTATTGTAGGAATTTTATTTTCGATGATACATGTGGGTGTCATACCGGCTGGGAATATTTCCCATTGAACCCCATGTTATAATGATCCCAATTTACGACATTTTGACCCGAGATGGTTTTTTCAGGAACATAACCTCATCACAAATAGAGGGACACCTGTACTGTACATTACAATACTGTACTGTACAGGTATTTTGCTTCTGTTGGTGCCAATGACCCAACCTTGTTGTCTCACCTCCTTCATCCCACTCATCTCAGTGGAAGGATATGTACAGTATAAGTGAAATCTATTGTACTGTACTCGTTTCTTGGCTTACTGATTCCCATGCCATTTGTAAAGAAACATAACCTCAAGGCGTACTGCTCCACCAACCAAATGCGAAGCACACCTGTGATCAATACATTTATGACCCATGAGAACTCTCGTTTACTGCTCTGTTTCCTCCACTTCCCCAACAATAGTATACGTACAGTAAAAACCCCAAACATCATACTCGCCAAATTCCAAATTACTCACAATTCAAAATTTTTGGCTGTTATGAAATACTGTACTGTATATACTGTAGTACAAATTTTGTAACATTTGGTAAAAATTTGAAATACAGTATATTATAATATATGGGTATATATTACGAATTTTATAATTTCTCATAATTATGAGACATTTTTTAAAACAAATGACGCATATGTCACTATGGGATGCAAATGCCCACCTCGGTGTCACAGTTATTTCAGGTTAGTCAGCATTGGAGTGTACATTGACAGTCTACCGCGTAGGCTTTTTCCCACTTGTTCTTCCATCACTGCCCAGTGTTTGAGCCATTATGTTGATAGATACCAAACAGGGAGGTACTACCGCCTGGGAAGATATTGGAAGCATAATGTGTTGCTAATGGTAGACCCTGCTGCCATATGACATCACAAAAATTATGACCAAGTCCCAGGTTGCTAATCTGTCTTTCTGCCTCATTTACACACAATTGCAGGTCTTAAATGTTTCTCTTGCTTTGAGAAAACAACATACATATACAATAGTTTCTCAATATTTTTTTTTTCATTTTTGTATTTTTTTATGGTACTTTATTAAAGTATTATTATGATTTTATTTTTAATTATGTATTATAAATTTTATTTACAATGAACTAATTATTATTAATAAAATTATTATTAATATTACATTTTTGCCCCCAGGCCCCGATGTGGGTCGGTGGCCTGTGCCCAGGTGGGCTAATCCCTGCAAAAAAATATAAATAAATACATAAAAATATCTGGCATTGTACCTAGAAATATTTATATCTTAATTGGGGCAGATAATGTAAAAGCATCATTGTTGTTTTTTTCACCTTGGGAGATGTCCCTCATTTTGTAAAATACCACAATTCGTAAGTAATGGCATTTTTGGGTATAATGTTATCAGATATTTTAAACATTAATTTTTTAGCACAACTTTAACACTTAATATCTAACCTATAATGTAAGTTACATAATTTCTCTTCCCAATCTTGGAATCAGGATATTATTTTTTATAATATAAGATTAAAATATTTTATTATTTTTTAATTATATTCATGTTGCCAACAGTTATGACTGAGGGATGCTTCCATCACAGCACATTATGTATCTTATAACCATTATTGAACTTCACTGCAGAGGGCAGGTCCCCCAACACCCAAGAAACACTCTACCAAAATCTGTTGAAATATAAGCAGGGCAAGGCTATGTACTATTGTTCATATACACAAAACATCTTTACATCCACTAAAACTGAAATATTGTTTCCATCTTCGGTCTCTACTCATTTTCATTATTGTTGTACACATTCACTAAATTTAGCACAAATTATCTAGTTAGCTTGGGACTGTAAACATAACCAAATTTGGAATATTGAGTAAGGTATGGAAAATATGTCATAGACTAGAGCAGGGGTGGGCAATTATTTTTGATGGAGGGGTCACTTCATGAATGGTGGCACATTTCGTGGGCCACACACTTAATGTAGATGCAAATGTATTATATTAACACAAAGTAAAGCCTTGTATTTGTAAATACAAATGCAGTGGCGAGCCACAGAAATAATTTGGCGGGCCATACTTTGCCCACCCCTGGACTAGAGGATGCTGCCCCCAGAAAGAAATACTGTACCTACTGTATGTACACAAATGATGACTTAACTATAAATACAGTTGTGTAATTAAGAGATTACTCACATCACTTTGTAGACTGCATAGAGATGAAGCTGTTTCTCCTGATGCGGCAGCAATATTACCAGGCAATTTTGCATTTTGCTGCAACACTTGTTCTTGTTTACATTGCTTCCCAGGTTCAGTTTGTTTATCATTTTTTGAAGGTTTCTCACCATACCAAACAATATTTGCTAAATAGTGAACCTCAAAACCACAGATTTTCTTGAGTTTATTATGAGGCATCCAACGGGCTGAACATCCCCAGGTTTCAGCTTTCAGCGGACCCAAACTCCTTGCAAGAGAATAAATTTCAGGTATCGGTTTCTTATTGATAAAGACGTTTTCTTTATTAAAAAAGACCCTAAATGTCTTCTCTGACATTTCACTTTTCACTTCTAAAATTCCAGAGTGTCCCATAAGGTGCCATATATTTGCTGATTTAGTTTCAAGTGTTTTAGGAACTGTAATACTTGGCAAGTTCCTTGGTAAACCTCGAAAACTCTGGGCTGACAGATTTCCTACTCGTTTTTCCCAGCCTTTAAGGATTCCTTCTGCCTCTTGAGGCATCTTACGTACAAAAGCCAACAGGGCAATATCTGAAATGACATACCGTTTTGTACATATTGGGTTTTTCAGTCCAACAATATAGGCTTTAATATCGTCTACATTTTTTAGGCATGCAGACAGGGGATAAGATGGTGGTAACTTAAAACCATCTATGTAGAAGTTCTTTTTCTGAACAATTACTATTCTAGCGTTAGCATTCAGTAGAGCAAATTCATTGTCCGCTAAAAGTAGATAACACCATGAAATTGCATATGGATCTTCCTTGAAAATCATTTCCTTATCTTTCATTAATAAATCAAACTCTCTAAAATTCACAGTTTCATCCATTGTTGTATCCTTTGTGTTCCAAAGCTGTGTTTCATTGGTAGGGTGCTGGCTCCTGTCCTTCACCTGGTGTTGATGGCTTGCAGTTTTATCATCTTCCCCGTGTTTACCGATTACTGACTTTGAGGATGCATTTGAAACTTTTTTTTGTGGCACCGTATGTTGTTCTACCTTCCATTTTTTTCTGTACATGTCAAAGATTTCCTCATATTTATATTCAAAAGTTAATGGCTTATTCCCAGTCCATACCAACAGAGCAATATTAGTAACCTGGCATGTTAATATCTCAATGGGTTGCTTAAGTTTCACAATTACAGAATTGACACACTTCAATGATAAAGCTTCTTCTAGTGTCTTATTTGCCTTTATTTTACGATGGTTATGGTAGACTAACTCCCTTGTAAACAGTATATATCCACTGCCACTTCTCAGGATGCCATATGTGGAATAACTGGAACTAAACAAGCAACCTATTAAAGTTTGTGGTTCATTATCTAACACAAGTATAGATTGCAGTTCTTTATCTTTTTCATCAGATTCTTCTGGATGCAATTCATCTTCAGTGCTGAAACACGGACCATCTGGTACTCTAATACTTTTGGGTAACAAGGAATGGCCTTCTATAGACTGTTCTGATTTTTTCTGAAGTTTCATATCTGATATGGAGTTTTTGGCATACTCATTATGTATACCTAAATATGGTTTGGCAAGATGAACTTCAGACAATTTCAAATCAGTTTCATCAACTATCCTACTGACAGAAGACTGCTGGACTTTAATTTCAACCGTTTTGTTAGTTTGGAGAGTTTTGTTTTGCAAATTTTCATATTCGTTAGGTAACATAACAGCAGGAGAGTGTCGATCTTGTTGAACATCCAAATCTGCCACAAATTTTCCACAGTTGCTGTCTCCAATGGACACAGCATGGCTGATCCCTCCACACTTTTTTATTAGAGATGTGCAATTCAACCAAGTGTGGAGAGATCCAAAACTCACATCACTGTGATCTCTGGATGTGGAAAATGCTGCTTGTGATATATTCAGGGATGGATCACTTCTGTGAACTGCACTGGATATTCCACATAAACATGGTGAATCCAATGGTTTATTATACACTGACTCACTATTATATTTTCTTCGAACTGGAACTGACTCTGCCATATGGGAAATGTTATCACATTGGCTGCTTTTAAGAAGTGTCACATCCAAAAGCTGAGCTTTGTGAATGTCACACACCTGAACAATTATATTATCAACATTGCCTTTCCATGCTCCTACACCTTCCCACAAGTCCTTTTCTAATGGTAACTGTACCAATATACACCATGGACTGTCATCATCACTTGAACTTCCATTCAGAGTTTTAAGAGAATCTTTGCAACACAATACCTGTACTTCCAAATTATTTTCTCCTTGGGAACATATGAAAGACACTTTGTTACTCTCAAGATGAGAATTCATCTTTTTTCCCTCCAAGATCTTAAACAAACTTGTTGTGCACACATGATCAAAATGTTTGATTACAAAGGCTCTTGGACAGCAAATCCCCTCTGTCCTTGAAGATGGTCCACATAATTTGAATTTATTTGTTGAATCAGGAGACAGAACAGAAGGAATGGCAAGATCTCTCCATGCCAAAACAACTCTGAAATTACTACATTCTTTTGAAGCCTTAGAAATTTTAAGCATCAATTTGAGAGGACAACCAATAAAATTATGCAGCATTAAGGCTTTGTTTTGATCAAGGAAGTTGTGATGATGCACATAAATGTAGTACTCTTTTCCCTGATGCTGCACACTGACCACACCCTTGTTTGGGTCTGTATCATTAACACTTACAAGGACTCCTGTGCATTGTATGTGGCTTCTGGCATTCATGGTATCTGATGACAAAAATGCCTTATCAATTCCACTGTTACAAATATTGTCAAGGAGATGAGCAGCACACTCATCAGATTGTTCACAAAGTATTTGAATGTCATTATAAACTTCCTGTGCAATAGCCAATTCTTCCCCAATAATACTCTTCAACAAAATGCCATTGTGGTCACTACAATTATGAATTCCTGGGAGAGTTGTCACTGGTTCAATAAATCCCAATACAGCTTTTAAATCTACTGTTTTCCCTCCAAGAACAACAGCAGGAGAATGTATTACTATGAGACAGCATTTCTGTTTTTTGAGCTGCATTAGATCTTCAATGACACCACATTTTGCATCTTTAATGTAAAAATCAGACAAGTGACACCAAACCATTTCATTCAGTTTACTGGTGCACACAACTAAATGCTCATCAAAATATTTAACTTCACCAGTGGTCTTCCTTAAGCCACAACACTGTAATATTTGGTCATGGAAACTGAAAATGTTGCTTCCTTCTTTGCAGTCTAAGGCCTGTAATTCCTTTACATTAGTATTTTCATATTTTTCATTACTTTTTTGAGATGATGCACATAAAGATAACTCTTCTGAAAGCTTACTAACCAGGTTATGTGCACATTCATTCTTATACACAAATACAACTGGATCATGTACATCACAGGTATGTACTGTAAGTACACTGGGTCCACTACATGACCATGCCATTACAGCCATGGCATCTACATATCTACCATTGATCCTAATTACTTCTTCCAATGGAAAGGTGACAGCAAAAAAGTTTTTCCAGTATTTTTTGTCAATATCATTCCAAGATGTAATATTTCTGCCTCGGAAGTATATGTTGGCTATATGACAAACTGCCAGACTCTTTTTCTTCCCACACAAGATAAAACCATTACTCTCTGTGTAAAACTGTAGGCACCCCCCTAAAATTTTCATATCACACTCATTGTCAAATTTAAAACTATACAAGTGATATTTGTAACCTCCTTTACACAGAAAAGCATTATTTCTTCTTTCCTCGTATATCTGAATTAATTCTTGAACCTTATAACTGTCAGAGGATACCATGTTGAACTCAGTTTTAGTACATCTGAAGGTGTTTATGGAAGATAAAGCTAGTCTTACATTACTAGTGATGAGGAGAACCTTTTTCGTTACAACAAGTCCAGCAGTAGTTACCGGTCGGCTGTCTTCAACAACTATATGACAAGGCAATGATTCAGTTTTCACATGAGTACAGAAATCACTGACATTCCACTTGGACTTGCTTGTAAATGCACAATTTTTCTCAAAAGAACAATATTCGACAGCATCATTCTGGACACTACCAAGAACAAGTACCTGTAGTTTATTTTCTGAATCAAGCAAACTTATCTTCTGGTTCAAAAGAACATAAGGATAACCTTTTCTTTCGCCATGCCATAGTATTAAAGGATGATAAATTAACTCTCTTGTTATTTCATTAGTTTCCAAACAAACAAGAAGGTAACTCTTCTTATTACCATCCATAGAACTTCTACAGTTATAATGAAGTACATCAGTTGTATTTATAAGTATATTTTCAATATCACATTCAAAGAAAGAGGTCAAACACATTGACAACTGAAGTACACTGCCCTCAAGGGTTAGATATTCAACATGAATACATTCAATATTTTCAACAGGTGTTTCTTCAAGGACTTCACCATTCTCTGACATCAAGTAATTTTGAGATCCTACAGTATCATCTGCAGCACTGTTTTCTTTATTTGATATCTTCCATTCATTGTAAGTTTGTGGCTGCTTGTATGAGCAGGAATCTTCATCAGTAAATATGAACAGGATTACCATTACATCTTCTGTCACGTTTAATTTCAGATGTGCACTTATTTTGCTTCCACACATCAAATCCTTAACACCAGTGTTCCCATCTGGCAAAATGATATGCTCTGTGTTCTGGCAAGTAATAGTTTGAATTCTACCTCCCAAATTTAACTGTAAATTCACAGACTTCTTATTTTCAGTAGCACCACAATATGTACCTTTCTTATCATAAAAATACTTTGTGCCATCATCACATTCAACATGATGGGGTCTAATTCCAATCCATACAATAACAGCAACATACTTCAAACTGGTTGTGTTATCACAGAAAGCATCAAACATAAGCCCAGTACCCAAGGGAATTTCTTCAAAACTGACAGTTCTGCCATCAGCACACACACATCCATTCTTTGGAATTGAAATCCATAATGCAGTACCACTGGAGAAACAGAACAGGGCCATTTCATTAAGTTCATTAAGCATTAACATTCCAGCAAAGTTCTTAATGTACCGAGGCAAATCTGCCCCCAATGTACGACCGAGCTGCACTGAAGAATCATGACTGCTTAGTGATACACTATCCAAAGAAAGATCTCCACTCCGATTTTCCGAAATGTTTGAAGCTGGTCTTACAGATGAGAGGTCAAGCTGAGTTACTGTCTTTGGTATTAATGCTGATCTTTGTAGTTCTTTCGTTTTTTTGGCATTTAAGCATTCTTGAAAAACTATAAGAGGTGTCATCCAAACTGTGTGGCCACCACTTAAAATTTTTTTGAGGTGGAGAAACAGAGAGAAATTTAATGGAATTGACGGGCAGGGCTTGCCATCTGCTGTATAAATTCTATCAGTACTGCAGGTGGTAATAGTAGTAACACAGTCTTCAAGACTCACACAGAATTTCATATCATTTCCATCTTGACCACAATAAATACCAGGTACATCATAGAAATGTATTATTTTTCCATCAAAGACTTTATATGGCTTCTTCCCTACCCACAAGGCAGCTAAACAGGAGCCATTTGGTACATTGTTACCAAAAATGGCATCAAAATATACTAGTAAACCTTTAATATGTTTACAAACTTTGAAAAAACTAGCACCCTCAGCACACCAAAGTTCTTGACCCGCAAACAATTCAAGAGGTCTCCCATTTACTTCAGTAAATATCTTGAAAACTTTAGAGTCAGGTATCCAATACAGTTCTCCACACCAATTCATCAGCAAATTTGGATGATCATCAGTCTCATAATTACAAGACAACTTTGTTAAATTGGTGTGACTTTCCGTGGTAGTGTCTCTAATAAGTGAATCAATTTTGTTAGACACACTTAAGTTAGCCACCTCCTTTTCATCTTCCCCTTTATCACTAATACAGTTACAATTTGACTGTAATACCCTTTCAAGTGGAATATCTTCTGGCTCATTCTTAATTATTTTCATTAAAGTTTGATCAATTGGCCTGTCCATTAGCAAGTTTTTGTCAAGAGGAGAAGTTTTCTGGATATCATTAACAAAGTCCTTTTCTGCTGTGTCTGAGGCTGCCTTGCCTAGATTTGATTTAGTTTTATTATCAGAGGTTCCTAAATTAGAGTGAGTGTCTTCCACAACTGGTTTTATTTTCAACTCATTTATATCAAATTTGTTCTCCGCTAACTCCATTGTGTGTTTTGCTACATTTCCTGCCATCAGGTGAGAGCCACCAATCAGCTGTGAATGAGGTAAAAGGTATTCTTGTTTGGATATTATGGCAGCACCCGTTTCTGTAATTGTTGCTTCACACCCATATACAGGGTTGGAACTTTCTGACCCAGTCTTGACTAGTGATGTGTCAGGAACCTGGACCATTAAAACTTTCCACAAAAATTCCCCCATTTTACTGACTTGATGGCTAATGTGGGCCTTCACTTTTCCTCCATTAGTAGGTATAACTCTTTTATTACCATAATATATTGTCTTGTCTGAGCAAGGAATTAGAATTTTTTCTTCTCCTTTTTTATATTCAAGACTATAGCCCTTCTTACTTATACTCAATTTAACATCTGCCTCAAAATACAAGTATGACTGTTGTTTCATTTCCACATAATTGCCACATCCTTTTTCATAAAGGGTAAACCGTCTCAAGATTGTTTCTCCACAGGAGTGGATTGGCTTACAGCCTAACCATATGCAAGAGCACACAAAGCTATAAGTTGGTGTGCCATAAGAATCAACATTTACAAGCTTACAAATGTCTGCTAACAGATGTTGAGAATTATTTTCACAGAGTTTCTGTACGTCAGCTTTTCTTTCAGCCTTCTTACCATGGATGTAGACAACATTATTACGAAAGATTGCTTTTTGAGTCTCACCTCCAATGACAGTACTAACTACCCCAATTTCCTTGAGAACTACTATTATGTTCACCTTCAGATCTCGCAACTCTTCAACAAATACATAAGAATGAAGGCATGGCTCAACACTTAATGTAGGCTTAGTAACTTGCCAAATAACAATAGCAGTGTACTTCCTTTCATTTGGTCTTGCAACTGCATCAAAACAGACTTCAGTACCATCCGGAAGCTCATTCAGGACAAAGCATTTGTCCCCTCTCCAAAGAAACAAACATCCACGTGGTACTTCTGAATCCTCAATAAGAAAGCTAACAAGCACAGGAGCATCTTTGACATGTGTTAATATGAATCGAGAATTGAAAACAGTACATAATTTGCCAAGCTGATTATAAAGGCAAGATAACTGAAGACAATATAGGTTAGGAAACCAACATGAATAACCTTCAGCAGGTAGTTCTATGTTCAAATTTGTGGTAAGTGTTTCCTTTGATACAGTTAAGTGTTCAAGTTTACTTTTACTTGTTGGGTAAACTATTTTGAATTCTTCTTTTTCACAGGCAGTTGACGCTTCTTCTCCAACATTTTCATTGTTCAGGTTAAAATGGTTATTGCACGGTGGCAAACATGTCACGTCCTTTGTCTCATTTGAAAAACAGTTTGTTGTTATGCTGGAACTTTCCTTATTACACAACTCTGTCTTCATCTCTATGGACCCACTCTCACTATCTGAGCCTAAGGGTTTATTAATGAATGAAAAACCTGTACTAATCTCTTTATTTTCATGCATTTGCTTGCAAATAAGTACTTCTTCTTTGCCATTATCTACAGTGTGGCTATGACATTCAGAAGTGTCATCCCATTGCAAGTTACCATTACCTATAATTTCTCTTATTTTTTTCTGTGAAACTTCCCCAATCTCCTGTTTTGTCCATTCCTTATCCTCGGTTTGGGGTATTTTTAATTCTGATGAAGTATTTCCTGTGCTTATGTTCTCTTGCTCTGCAAGAATATATTCTTTATCCTGTAAAGGAGTTTCAATATTTTGTTGTGTTATGGATGATGATTCATTATGTTGAGGCCCTGATAGTACTCTGTGGCCCACAGCCTGGTGAACTACTTTTGTTTTCAATTTTTCACCACTTGATATTGAATCAAAACTTATAGTTTCTGATATTTCCCTGTTCTCTACTTTGGGAAATTTTTCACTGTCCTGTATTTGTGAACCTACATCATTAGGTAAATCCTCAGGATTTACTTCTCTGTCTACTTTGCAAATGAAATTATCTAAATGATCAGTAGGCTCTGGCAGTATTTTACTCACTTCAGAAGATACAGTGGTTTCCTTTCCAGTTTTAGAAAAGACATAATTCTTATCTTGGAGATTTTCATGGTATAATTCCTGTATCTCGGATACTTGCAAGCAACGTTCATTTGTCTGAATTAATGGATTAACCTTCAAAATATGGACAGTGTCTTCTTCCACAGAACCACCAACAGCACAAGCTTCTGCCTCACCTTGAACTGCTTCAGCTGCCACCTCAATTTTATCATTATTATCATTTACAATGTTGTTATCTCTACTACCAAATGCAGAGGTGGAACTCTTATTCCTCTTCTTAATGCGGTGTTTCAGCCACTTCAACATTTCTGCCTCTCATAACCACAACTGTAAGAAAAAAGTATACCGTATATAAATTTACAACATGACCAAACATACAGTATTACATCATGTCTCACAAGCTAGAATTGAATTCTGCAACGAGATTAAACATATTACTACTGTATAATTTATGTTTCACCTATAAAACATTCAAATGATAAAAAAGATTTATACTGAACATCAATCAATCAGAGTACGATCCTCATATCTGCGGATTGGTGACCACAGTCCTCCACTCTTCAACGATCTCAGGCTGTTTTTATCAATCCATCCCAGTCTCTGCCTTCCTCTAGCCCTCCTACCCTCAATTTTGCCCATTAATATTTATCATCTTATTATGTCATCCCTAATTATACAGTATGACCAAAGTATCTCATTTGTCTTTTTCTGTACATTTTGAGTATTTCTCTTAAGTTTTTGCTAATCTTAGTAATGTACTTCATTTGTAGCTTATTCTTAGCATTTTCCTATAACATCATATTTCAAAGGCCTCCAACCTCTTTCTGGTGTCTGCTGAAAGTGCCCACACATCTGACCCATACAACAGTCCTTGCCACATAAAGCCTTTCAGCAGCCTTTTCACAAATCGATGTTAATGACTTTTTATTAGGTCTTTTAGATTATTAACCCTCATGAGCACCATGACATGAATTGCGTCATATTATTGGGTAGCACTAACTGTATCGGTGACGCAAGTTTCCAGAAAGTATCACCACGTGGGTGGAGATAAGTCTTCTCCTGTCAGCCAGGCTGGTAGGTTACATCTGTGTCCCTTTAACTCTTCTCAAACCCTCCCATTACACGTTTGGAATACAGTGATGTTTTATAGTGAAATAGTTTTTCAAGTAATTTCAAGTGTCTGTAATGCATTTTTGTTAAATTTACAGAAAAAATACAAGGATTTTTAAATTCATTCAAGCAATAATGGAACATGCCTCACACGGTTCATTATCATGGGAAATATCTGGGAGACGAGGAAACTGCTTCCTACTTCAAAGGATTATGAAGCAGTTATAGTAAAAGTGATGGTGGCAAGGAAACATAATTAGGAAAACACAACAAGAATGACAAGCACGCTTGTCCCTACCACCACCGCCACCATAAATAGATCATATATATAACCTATACAGTATGTTTATATGTACAGCTCCTCCCCGACTTACGATGGGGTTAGGGACCGACATCCAGGTTGTAAGTCAAAATGATCGTAAGTCGGAAATGCTTAAATAATACATAGAAAATCTAAAATGAACATCTCTTTTTCTTCTCAGCACCACAAAACTCTCACTTTTAAGCTTGCCAGCCATTTTAAAGTGAATTACAAAAGAAAATTTTGTCTGTGTACTGACTTTGGGACTCAAAAATACGTAATTTGACCAAATTTTTGTACGAATGAGGCAGATCTTAAGCGCGGATGGTCGCAAGTCGAGTAGGTCGTAAGTTGGGGAAGAGCTGTATATAAAGTACTGTCTTTCTAAATTTATTTTTGAATATTTATGTATGTAACTGAATATATGCATAATTCATACAATATGAGTATACACATAACATACATAAATAATGTAGAGTGGCTAAGAGCATAACTCTTGGAAAAATGCCCACCCAGCAACTTCAAAAATTTATTACTGTATATGTAATGGTTGTCCATCTTGTAACAAGGATGGCCAGCCCAAGGACCACCTAGGTGTGAATTTGTTTAAGGCGTAGAAGCTGTCACCACCACAACAGCCACACCCTGAGTTAACGAGTTGCTTGACCCAGTGTCAAGGAATAGTCTGAGAAAACCAGACAACTCGCCAACTGCACTGGCTAACCATTACCCCGGAATACAATCTGCAAATCAATTAACATACAGGTTCCCAATTACTGCTGGGTAGACAGAGGCGAATGGAGTAAAGAAACTTGCCCATAGTTTCACCCTGCCCGGGGATCGAACCCGGGTCCGCTCGCTTGCAAGGCAAACGTGCTGAGATAACCATAAATGCTACGGTATATTTAAGACCACTCTTCTCTTCCTAACATTACAAGCTATACAATGCACTAAAATTTAATACAATAAACCTCATGGATACAAAAAAATCGAAAAGGGTATCTATAGAGATATTGGTGACCTTTTTTTTATGTACAGTACTGTACTGTACAGTATTTTGTTCCCGAAAATTTCTCCATAAATATTACATATATAAAAATTTGAAAGCCACTGTACGAAAACTCATAAAATTATGCTTCTATAACTATGATACTGTACACTTGCTAAGTTCGTGAGAAACTATCCAAGGTCGTATAATTTTTTTTCAAATTACGTATGTATTTTCTAGTACCGAAACGTTTCCGTCCCGTACGACGGCGTGGCATGGGCTCGGCCGCCTCGTGGTGTACAGCATTCACGCCGTAGCCTGCTTAGTTGGTGTTTGGCCGTCGTTGGTGTTAGTGATCGCGCTGTGTACTGACAAAATATTTGTTTCTAATTTCCTTTAAAATGACTGGCAAGCGTAAAAGTGAGAGTTCTGGTGGTGCTCAGAAGAAAAAGAGACAGTCAATTAATTTTGAGATAAAAATTAAAATAATAATGCAATATAAAAATGGAAAAACGGTAGCAACCATTTCACGAGACCTAGGGTTCTCTCACTCGATGATATCAACAATTTTGGAGGGCAAGGAACGAATTCGTGAGGTAGTGAAAGGATCAGCACCTATAAAGGGAACAATAATAACGAAAAAAAGACAAGGTCCTCTTCATGAGATGAAAAAATTACTTGTGATGTGGATGGAAGATCAGCTGCCAAAGCATGTACCCTTAAGCCTTCTAACCATACAGGCTAAGGCACTGAACAGACGTAGGGAGAACATCGTGATTATGTAGGAATTGGATAGCTTGACCGTCTTTCTCATAAAACTTAGCAACTTCTACCACGCCCATATTCACACTGGTCATTGAAATTACCCAAAAGTACCCAAATGTACTTAAAAGTACCCAAAAGTATATTAAATCAGGGTAAAATCTTAATGAATATCTGTTATACATACACAAAACATGTCTAATAATATTTTAAGTGTAATTTTGTAAAAATAATTTGTAAGATAAAATAATAAACGGCGAAAAACTTTCAGTATTGGCGAACGCTAAATTCCAAAGAGTTCATGAACAAGGGAGATAACTCAGATCCATCGTGATGCACTTCCCTAACCTAACGAAAAGTAAATCCTACGGCTATGTTAAATACCCCAAAGTAACAGAAACATCAGTAATTATATCTCCATTTTGGATTGGTGACTATTTGGAATTCAGCATTTTTCGCTGTTTATTATTTCATTATTTTGACTACATTTCAATGAAAACATTATTAATCAGGTTTTATTGATGTAAAACATATATTCGTTAACATTTTACCCTGATTTAATATGCTTTTGGGTACATTTGGGTACTTTTGGGTAATTCGTTGGAACGATTGAGCCCTGCAATTGTGTGTAAATGAGGCAGAAAGATAGACCAGCAAAAACACGGGGGAAGAAGGAACGAAATCAATTATAACTCCTCTTGGTGGTAGTGTTGCTCTCGGAAATTACTCCAAAATTTACCTAACCGACTACCGGACAAATATCAACAGGCCCCTCTTATTGTCAATCAGCATCATTGTCAAGTAAAACCGCCATTCCATTCAATATAGTATGAGTAAACGTTGTACTAATTTACCTTAAATAAATGTTATGCTACGAAATACTGGAGTCTTGTTTTAGTAGATACTGTCGTCATCCAGGAACTGCGCATTAAAGGAGGAAATATGGTAGACCTCCGTCTAGTCTCATCATGTGTTCACCAATGTAAACATCAACATTGTTGCCAATCTTATATATTAAATACTTTCTATGTACTGTACTTTCTTCTTATAAAAACAAATAACATACTTACCTAGAACAAATAATACATATAAAATTTATCATTTAAACACTATTTACCGTAAAATTTGGAATATTAGAACCGATGAGGCTCTTGAGAATTCAGCGGGAACCCCTTGGTGATAGAACACGCGTTCATATGCCGCGGCACCAGCAGTAGTGGGCTAACACAAATGGTCCTGGGGTTGGCAGATGCTCCTCCCTAAGTCCAAAACAGGACAACCTCTCCGTAAAAAAAAGGACATTTAAGGAAAAAAGAGGACAATTACCAGCAAAGTTTGTGGAATTAATGAAAAAGAGAAACCATATGTTATTCTTGGTTGCATAGGTTTTACAGTCAAAATGTAACTCACCTGAAATTTTAAAATTCAATAGACAAAATTTCATCGAAAGTTGTCTCCCTTTCTCCATCACTTGCGGTAATAGTGCAGGTTGAACTGGAAATACTAGGTTGCTGGCTACCTTCCTCTTGGTCGAATTTTTGTTTTTTTGCTTGCTGTACCTTTGACTTGTGAAGAGTGCTAGCATTTTTTTCAGTAACTTCAAATTTCTGGTAACAGCTGTCCTTATTGTGCAAGTGTGTTCTCACTTGTAAAATGGCCTCTAAATAATCTGGGCTTAACTTGTTTCTTGCCTTGGACTTCACATTCGTTACATGCGAAAACACTCGTTCAATAAATGCGGTACTCAAAGGAATACAATAAGAGTTCAGAGGAACGGTAGCTAGCTCTTTGTAACACTTCCGCAGCAGCATTTTTGTAATTGAAAACCACTGACCAGAACTGAACAGGGTACTGGCAAATCTGACCCATACGACGCGTGTAATGAACGGCGCTCATCTTTTGGGGAGAGGAGAGAGTGCATTGAATTTGAATTGAATTGTAACAGCTTAATTAGCCAGAAAAACACAAATACAGAGTGGATGATAATAATAACAATATTAACATGGCTGAGCCAGTTGAGAACCTGAGCTCTTCTGTAGGCACCTGATATATACTATACATTTATCTCAAGGAAGTATTATGTAACATTTAGTATCACCTGGGATAGTACACATAGCATGGTGGTAATAAAAACATCTCATAATGTTACCACGATTATCACTTAAATATTCATTTATTTATTTATATTTTTTATTATAAGTACAATAAATACATAAATTACAGTGGAATTGAAAAACATAAATATAATGGGGAAGCAGTACAGCATAGGTTGTACAGTATTAAAGGTTGAGCAAGAGGACAGAGCTGTCAGGATTATGCCTAGTTGGCAAATGTATTTATTGCAATGGTAATTTCTTATCTATTTACATGATAATTTCCGATAAAGGAGGGGAGCGTAGTCATTGCTCGGATGGGTGGGGGTAAATTGTTCCACACCTTTACACCATGATATTTTATGGGGGTCTGGAACCGAGAGGAGCGCAGGGGGGTGCATGAACGTGTGTTGAACGTGTGGATTCAGTACAGGTCGTCACAAAGAGGCGATACAAAAATGAGAGGGACAGCAGGATATTACTGAGTAAAGTATTATGCTTTGTGTTAGATTAAGCTTTATAAGTAGAAGGAAGCTAAAAAAAAGGACACAAAAGGTCATTTTTGGGCTGTCCGTTTTAATTACAACAATATAGGACAGTGGTTCCCAATGTTTTTAACATGACGCCCCCTTTTGCGAAGTCCCCCCCCCCTTATATTTTTGTATGTAAAATCTACATCACACCATGGTTATAAGCAAAATTAATTAACAAATCATCAAAGAGAAGAAATCCAGACTAAAACACACAGTTTGAGATAAATCTTACCATACAGTAACTGATGATGAGGGAGGATCGGTGGCTGGTAGTGTTGTGTGAGTAGTGTGAGAGTCAGTATGGTATCCATGACGTGTACAAGACGCGTAAGGAAAAAAAGAGATGAAATGATAGAAAACGGATAGGGGTGACTGCTATACTTTGGTTTTGCCCGGATGTGTGGGAGATTCAAACAGAGAGAGTTAACTCCTGGAACCCTGAAACAGTTTTTTCATTATATTCTTTTTGAGCAAAAAATAACAAATTTTGGCAGATGGCTTCACGCCTCCCCTGTACCCACCTCACGCCCCCCAATCAATCAATGGCGAGTGACAGGGGGGAAGGAGGTACAGGGGAAGAATAAAGGGAGGATTGAAGTGAATTTTAGGAGGAGAGAATAGGTGAGGACCCCCAGTTTGGGAACCACTTATATAGGACAAGCAAGTCTCTAAAAGGACAGATTGTCCTTTAAAGAACAGACCTAGCAATTTTGATTCACACAATAACAGTCTATTTTGAAACTACAGTAGTTCGTATTTATGTAATTTGCATAATAAATTGGGACAATTGTAGTTGAAATATCCATACAACTCTATCAAGAAAGAAATTCAATGACAAAATGTCCCGTATGCTTTTTAACGTACGCTACAAAGCGTCTTGATTATTATCTACCAACTTGGTATAAATCATTGAACTAACAATAAATGAATCACTCCTTGAAGGCAGACTTAAACTTGCTGTCGGGCGGATGAGAAGCCGAGTGATGGCTTCCACCGACCCATTTAGAGATGGACAAAACACTACTTTTTTTTTTGTCCTCTTCGCCACTGACGGGCTCGTTAGCCGCTTGGGCGGTCGGTCACGTCTCTGTTACGCACTGTTGGCAAGTACTGGGCATGTACTGGTACTACTGGCTCCTGAATGTATCCGAACCTGCTCCAATAAGGTACAGTATTCGAAAACCATTTAATGTATTGAATCACCGTTCGTTACAAAATAAATAAATAAATACATTTACACATTTATTAAAGCTAACATCACTGCGTATGATCAAATTTCCCTGAGACTGTATATTTTCTTTGGGAGAAGTAAATTCCTCCATCGAGTCAACAGATTCCTTTTTTGACAAACCGTCACTGAGCCTAAGAATTGGAAAGATCAAACATAAAACTGTAGAGTACAATAATTATGGGGCATGAGGGGTTTCTCTCGGTTGAATAAAATCATCCAGGGTTAGCCAGAAAGAAATAAAACGGATTCTTGCGATATGGGGATAAGTATTTGTGAACACTCCATACAAACAAAAACTTTATAATGGTAAAACCCATTTTATTACAGTACCTATAAAACGAGCTTCCCTATCTCAACACGACCAAATCTTACTTCAGTAAGGTTAAATAAAAATTCGTAAAGTTAGGCTCGTACTTGTAATGATGGTATCCATGCGTAAAGGTATATGTTTCATTTACATGATTGCTCATAATTGTGTACACATCATTGGTATTTAAAAAAAAAATCATCACTGCGTCGCAGACTCACAAATATCCCTATAACGCATATATAGTCAGTTTATACTTTCGAACTTATATATAATTCATTACCACCCTATCTTCTAAAATGAATTTTAGTGTAAATCGATATACTGTTTAGTATGCTTTAACAAGATAATACGCCAGTCTTCAGGGGCAGGGACACCCACGAAGTTAAGATGCGAGGCTCAGCCAGTTCACTTTATTTTTGACACTGTAACTTCATTCAGACTTCAAAAAGTGATATAAGCAAGTTCATAAAGGAAGTGAAATAAAAGAGGAGGCAGGTACCCCGTTTCCCTGGGCACATCCCTGTCCTCTTGGCAGGAGATTGGGTCACCTCCTCTGTCCGAGTTGCCGACCTCAGTAAATAGTGATCGCCATTGTTATCAATTTTATCATTAATGATGATATAAATATGACGGGAATGAGGCAGAGGTGTGTAATCTGTGGTGTGGGGGGCGGGGTAAGGCATGTCGTCACGCCATTATGTTGTATCTTATCTACTGTTCAATAAACAATTGTTTCTACACCTTCCTCCGCTTATTCCACTGTTGACTTAGTGCTCGATGTTGATGTACTGTACTGTTGTTGACTCACTGGTTAAAGGTGGTTACGCCACACCTTGTTGGTTAGCTGTGACGTCAACATTTACTGCTGCCTTAATGGTCGGCTGTTGCTGCCATTTTAATATAATTATATGCTTCGACGGCCAGGACATTTAAGCATCGTTCACTAAGTTTTAGTTTCTATGTTAGGGGAAAAATTTTATGAAATAAGAGATTTCTCTCTTTGTATTGCGGATCCACTGGGCAATAGTAATTACAAGTGATCGCGGGCCCTTCGTGTCCTTGTGAAAGTTTGAACGCTCGTGACAGCGTACAGCGAATGAGGGTGCGCCAAGTCCGTAGACTTGCATGGTTAATTAGGGTGCGCCAAGTCCGTAGACTTGCATCGTATTCCATCGTAAATAAAATGGTTAATTAATGCCTTCCTAAAGAAACCATCGACATGGGACCAGGTTTGTTCCACTCTACGATTTTTTTTGTGATTTTTCCACCAAGTTTGATGAAAAACGATTGTGCCGTTTCGGCTGCCCAGAACAGACAGACAGACAGACAGACAGACACATGCCTAGTCCTACAGTATATTAGATTGTATTGGTGTGTAGAAGCTCCTGCACTGTCCTTTTAAAAATAGTGTAAAATTTGCAATAAAAAACTGTCACTCTGCAATAAACTAATTGTCAAGTGTTTTCATTATTACTATTACTGTATTATCATGACGAATAATGCACCTGACTGGGCGGAGTGGTCATTATAAGGGCAATGGACGAGCAGGTGAAGCAGGTCATGGTCGCTGGACGGGTAAGTCAAGGTGCAAGTCACAGCGACTTGGCCACGGACGAGGGTCACTGAAGGGAGCAAGATGACCCGCGTGATTGAGAGCCGGAGACGACACTGGCATCCTGCAGTAGTGAAATAGCATTTATATAACAAGACCTCCTGTGAGCACGTAAACGTGTTTTATATCAGCCAAAAGTGTATTTGAGCATTTGACCAGATTCCCAGAAGTTCGTAGGTTACGTTTTCCTCATAGCTGGTGAAGGGAAGGCGTATTTAACAAAGATGACGGCCATAATAACACTGAAAGTGTGAACAAAGACTACCAGAGATAAAAAATAAAAATCCGAGCCTTGAAAAGAGGTCACTCGTTGATATGCCCGACCTTAGCTAGGATGGCCTTCGTTATGGTAAGCAGTGCTTGCTCCATGTTGGTGCCCGTAACAGCAGACACCTCCAGAAATTTCACACCAGCCTCATCTCCCAGTTCCTTCCCACGCTGCCATGTCACCTGTACCACATAGGGGAAAAATACTGGAAACAAATCATTAAATTTTACTAGTAACATCACTTCCATAAGCTTATAATGTATATATATATATATATATATATATATATATATATATATATATATATATATATATATATATATATATATATATATATATATATATATATATATATTAGGTTAGTGGGGGTTATATATGATGCAGATGATGGAGGTAGTGAGAAGGACATGCAGCACTATACCTGTCTGTCGTCCCCGCGGTAGTGAGCATTGGTTCCCAGTAACATTATCACCACCTCGCCCAGGCCACCCTCATCCCGCACCTTCCGGAGCCTGTAGGTCAACACCACGCACACTGGGTCACGTTAGATCAACACCACATTCAGTACACTAGGTCAGTTTAGCTTAACACCATTTACGGTGGATCAGTTCAGGTCAACAACACGTATTCTGGTTATAGGATCAGGTCATCACCGTGTTTACATTGGATAAGTTCATATAAACACTATATGCATTGGGTCCTTTCGGATCAACATGAAAAATTAAGACAAAACATATCTCTGTGAACAACATGTCAGGTCAGGAAGACAGTATCTTGGGTCAACATCATGTATCTGAGTCATATCAGGTCATTATATACCTTGGATTAACCAGAACTAACATGAACAGATGGTAAACCTAATCAGGTGTGACATTAAACTAGTAATCAAAAGTATGAACACATCATGCGTCGAATGTTATATTTAATAATAGAATGAAGACCGCACATTTTGAATATGGTCAGAAAGATCAAAGTGAGAAAATTCATTTACTCAGATACTCAAGAGGGTAAATTTCTAGACATGGCAAATGCCAATGGAGTATATGAATTTTAAGAGTGGCACAGGACAACTACAAGGCGATTAGAAACAGGTACAGGGTGTATGTCAGAGAAAAGAGGTGGGTATGAAAAAGTGAACCAGAGAGAGACTATTACCACCGTCTGGTGTTCTCGAAGCTGGTCTCGTGGGTGACATCATATACTAGAAGGACGCCCTTGGCGGTCCTGGTTGCGTCTGTGGTGGTGGCAGAGGAGGTATTGGAGGACGTAAAGGTGGTGAGGTCGTCCCAGACGGCGTTCCATAGTTGTAGTCTCACCGTCTTTCCTCCTACTCGAACATCGCGTACCCTGAAGGGTATACCTGTCAACAGGATCAAATTAAGCTTATTACGAAATATCAGTGAAAACAGAGACTTGAGGCTAAAGTTTTTATCAAGCCTGGTGTCGTCACAACATTCTTCGAAGAGTTAGCAAATCTCACCATAAAAAAGCTCTGGTAATTTTCCGAACTTGTGGTTTCTTTAACCTGAGTGTAGGTTGACGCTTTACTAGGAAAAACTTCCCACTTCGATAAAGACTGTTATTTTATAGCATCAAGGGTAACCGGAACCTAATGTATAATACGAGCAAGACAGATATGAGCGGGTGCGGGCTAGACGCCACTGATAAGAAACACACGGCGGGAAAACAGAGAAGACCTCCAGCTGACGGGAAAAGGGATATGAAGCGTACTGTACAGTAAATGAAAGACAAAAGTCGTGTCGTGAAATTTGGTGAAAACATATGCCTTGCGGTAGGGCTCTCGTAATGTTTCACGAGTTATATTTAATCTTCGGACTAAACCACTACACGAGTTTTATCTTTGATTGTACATACTTAATGACTCAGTTGTGAATTTCACAGCACGTTTTATGTTTCTCGAAGAAAATTTATAAAAATCGTGTTTAGACAAGCTGCTGAAAACCCGACCAACGTACAGTATATTCTGATGTTTACAATATGGAAGAAAAAATATATAACAAATATGTCCCATGTACCCTGAAATAAAGATTAGACTGCATGGAGTAGCATATATCACTGAAAATGCCTCTCATTCCCTCCTACATTCACACCTCAGGAAAATTAATTATTGTATACTGTTTTTAGCTAGTTTCCCATTTCACCAATATTCTGCAATTGTGTAAACCAAGGATATATAAAGTTGTATATAATGAAGAGTTAGATATATAACGTACAGGGAAACAAACATGCAGAGAGCTGTTTACTTCCCAGAGAAAAGTTTCATACTGAAACACTTACCGATTGTCGATACGAACGGCTCCTCTTGGCGTTTATCTTCCTCAAATTTAGCCAACAAATCGCATTTGCCGACCCCTGCGTCCCCAACGAGCAAAATTTTGAAGAGATGATGATAACTCCTGCTAGACATGGCTGATTATTCGTGTAAATGGGGTGGTACTTGGTTAGTAATTCGCCGCACCGTAGATTAGATGATAAAACACTGATACAGGACGGTGCTGCACCCTGCGTCACCAGCGGCTCATTACTTATTACGTCACATGTATTGTTGACACCACATGTTATCTCCAACATGTTATCATTAGCATTAAACTCAAGAGCGAGGATGTAGGGACCACTATTTAGATCGTGGTCAATGACAGATGCAATAATAGAAAACTCAAATGTGAGTGTTCCAATGTACAGTATACCAAATTGTGATAAAGAACCTCTCCTAACGACCCCACCTATTTTTTTTCGAACTAAAAACACCGAGTTAGATAGTAATATAGATTTCAAATCATAGAAGATAATAAATGACCAAGAGAAAGGCCTCATCGGGTTGTTTAGCAGTTACAGGGGTAGCGCGAGTTTGTCAATTGCGTTAAACTCCACAGGCTATTTGAATCCGGACGATGAAAAACTTTTTGCATTGTATCTACTCTGAAGTTTTTTTTATCTTGGTCTTTGTTTTCATTGTGGTAATACAGTAATAGAAGCAATCTTAAATATCTCTGATGTACATTCAAGATTGTTTTAAGTGTGTTTTTAGATTTTATTGCAACCATAGAAAGGTAAAAATTTAATAAAAAACATAATATTGGATACATCAGTTAGAATTTGTATTTCAAAGTATGAATAATAACTCGCTTTTATTATGTTGGTTTTGTGTTTCAGAGACGCGAACTCCAGCTCTCCGCCAGGTCTACCTCCGCATTATATTATAGATAAAACGTAAATCATAAATTAAAGATTTCAAATTAAATCTCATAATATGTATTATTTATAACTAATATATAATATTTAACGACTTTTTTTATAAAATTAGTAAAGATTTATTTGATTTATTACATTTAGTAATAATAGAATACAATAATGAAGAAATAGTATTGAGAGACTGAGGGATATTGTTTACAAGCTCCTGAGGTTAAGGTGGAGCTTGAGGCTAGTGAAGAGTTGAAGGTTTGTTAGTTTAATACTCTTATTTGCAGCAGTTTCAGCCAAATAAATTGTCACACAACAATTGATTTGAGAACAGTTGACGTAAAAGATTTTTCCTAAAGCCGTACAATGTATCCAAAGTTATAATTGCATCGTCATTAATACTAATGATAATGTTTATTCATTTTAGTTGTCATATAGGTTTATATTTGGATAAACATGTTTGTAAAATATATAGTTATGCAGTGCAGCATGAATATAGACAATACAGTATAGGTATGTGGTGCACGTTGGCTGTGGGGGTATGTATACAGTACAGTTTCCTGTGTGCCGAGACAGTGTAGGTAACTTTTACTTTGTACTTTTATTATTATCCTCTTCGCCACCGATGTATTAGCTAGCCGCTTAAGTGGTGGTCATGTCTCACGACAATAGTAATCAGTAAGGCAACTTGACTAAGGATAGCCGAGAAAGCTTGGTATTCTTTGTATGACATTTCAGGTTACCACATATTTATCAAGGGCGTTGATCACCATGAGGATTCATCTGATTAATATTCTGTAGTAACCAAGCATGGAATTCTATATTGATATTTATATAGGGAGATAGAACAAAAAATTATAACACTAGGGTTTTGTAGTAACTTACAGTACTGGCAAATCTGCGATACATGATTTACAGTGTTTAATTTAGTTGCTTATTGGTACTGTATCTTTGAAGAAAAGCAGATCTTAAAACTAGTGTTAAGTAACAAGTAGTTAAAACAAATTTTTTATTCATCACCACAATGATTTAAAATTTACTATTTTTTTTTCTCCAGGTTTCCATTAGGGTCATCAGGACATCATGGGTCGTCGCAAGTCAAAGAGAAAGCCACCACCAAAGAGGAAGAATATTGAACCTTTAGATATTCAATTCAATTGCCCATTCTGTAATCACGAGAAGTCATGTGAGGTTAAAATGTAAGTACAGTACGTTCAGTATTCACTTATCTGAATCATAAAGGATGTTTTATTCTTTATAGAGTTAGAGGTGCTCTTCATGAATAAGTCTAGTTAAGATACCTGGAATGTACAGTCATTGGTGCATTTTGTGAAATGTGGCAACTCCATTGAGATGGATTGGATTTGCCTGAAAAGGCAAAAACGATATTGTTTTTCTATGATGTTACTTCCTAATTGCTGATATTTGTGTATGCATGTACTGTACCTGTAGTTGTGATAATTGACATGCAATGCACAGAATGACCTATGATAGGTAGGTTCATAGCTTAACATGTAGATCAAGAGTGGAATGAGTATGAAGGGGAAGATAAAATGCAAACGCAACTGGAGTAGCTGAAAAATGAAGTGACGTGGGATACTGAATGGGTGAGAAAGAAGAGGTTAGAAAATTGTTGGAAAGGTTTCGATAAATTTAACAAAAGAGGAAGACCAAGAGGGAGTCGCAAGGATATAATGAAGTTTGTATGTGAGAGAGATGTTAAGTCTGGAATATGTAATACTGTTCAACAATAAATTTACAATTCAGTCCTTACAAGAACTGCACGAGCCGCATGAATTGGTATCAGGTTTGATGTCACTGGGGGTCTGTATTTTGTTTGAAATATTTGGGAATAAAACATAAACTTAGTTTTTCCTTATTTTAATTTACTTTATTTTTCAGGGATAAACCGCGGAATGCTGGCAGAGTTTCATGTCGAGTCTGTTTGGAGGACTTCCAGTGTACCATCAATTATCTCTCTGAACCTGTTGATGTTTACAATGAATGGATAGATGCATGTGAAACAGCAAATTAGTGGTCTTGTATGTTTAATCACTTGTTCTTTAATTTTGTCTTTCTTTATACTAAAGGTTATATACTGTATATTGAATTTGGGCCAACTTTGCTTTTCACCGTGTTCTGTGAATATTTTTCAGCCTTTCAGTACCATATACTGTACTGTAATTATAAATTTGTTTTAAAAACAAGGATCTTTCCGATTCTTTCATGTGTGATGTCTCAATATTGGAGTGTGAATCAGAGGCTTAGGGAAAATTACCAGAAATACACAGAGGGGAAGTGTGTTTAGACTGTTTTTTTTTGTTTCTCATGAAAATATCATTGTATGATCAACAGAGTTGAGGTAAATCTGACAGGGTATAAAAGTGAGACGTACAGCGGCTGGTTCTGAAGGTGACAAAAATGTGGCTATTGTATTATTAGGTATCAAGAGCACCATTGTGTAGGCTTTATCATTTTAATTACACTACTATGGTATATACTGTAATAATTCAGAAAATTCCCGACTCCAGGGCCAAGCTTGCTCGATAATATATTACAGTATTGTAATGCTGTTTTCTGAAGCATAATGGGAAAATGTGTAAAATTTGAAGCATCATCATGAAATAACTATTGTATTACGTTGCCAGGTTGTCACTACTTGTCGTCAGTTTCGTGTAAATGTCTTGCCAATTGAGTCATGCAAGGGTATGAAAAGTCTTACCAAAGGCTCTACGTTAAAAATCCAAAAGCCAAGGTATGAGGTGGGCAAGAGCATTGGTGTTAATGGTTTTCTATTACATAGCAGCTTGCAATTTCTTTCATTTCATAAATAGTGTGATAGGCATTTACAAGTTTGAAATATAGGTTATTAATGGATGGCTTCATACTGTTGACTCTTACATTACATTTGATTAAATATAAGCCAGCTCTGTCATTTTATAGGTAGGTTGTATGAATTTCTTCACTTAAAAGCTTTTCCTACTTTAATGTAGAGGCCAGAAGGAAAAACAGTAATAGACTAGACGTCTTTGAGCCACCTGATCTTACTTACTCTGACATCATCATAAACTACTGTGTCATGCTGCTTCTTGGATGCCCATCTCCCTTGTTCCTTTTAATCCTTGTAATTTTTCACCCTCCTACCAACCACTTCTTGATTTATACCTTTTTCATTCTCTCAGGATATCCATGCTGTACCCCATATTAATACAGCACTCATGGTCCTAGTTGTCACTACCCGAACCCCCCCCCCCTTCATCATGGTTGGCTCGAATCAGGGATGTTGGCCAGCCAGCAATCTTTTTCTTTTTCACTGAAGCAGTTTTTCCGACTGCACACTGACATTTATGGTATTACAGCAATGTCTATATAAATAAAATCATATAATGAACCACATGAGCAATAAAAAAAGAAAAGAAAAACAAGTATGTTTTGGTGAGTATAAGATCAAATCCATCATTAATTTTTCAGTGAACTTACATTTTGATTACATAAAACACCATTTTTCTAAAATGAATTATAGCAAAAAAAAAAAATCGGAATCGGTTTTACTATGGTATTATTAAATCCATCATTAATTTTTCAATCAACTTACATTTTGATTACCGTACATAAAACACCATTTTTCTAAAATGAATTATAGCTAAAAAAAAATCGGAATCGGTTTTACTATGGTAACATAAAATCTCTTAAGGTAAATAATAAGGCTGTACAGTAATGGATTTTAGAAAATAAAAGGTGACCCCCTCAAAAAAAACATTTAGTAAATTCTGAGTCAATTATCATGTTTAAAAATAATCAGTTTTGTAATATTTTATTTAAAAATAAAAAAAATGTATGTGGTGAGCTGAAATCCCATCAGCTGGAAAGAACCATGGAACATTTATCTCCCACACTAGACATTATCTATATAAAAGTATATTAAATGTTTATAGAACTTGATCCTATGCTAAATTTTCCACAGAATCTAATACTGTTATCTAGTCCCCATCACTATTGCTAGCTAAAGCACTCAGTTTCTTTGCTGCTCTTCAGCACTTGATACAGATGATGGTGAATAGCGAGTCATGATAATAGGGCTAAAATTTGAATTGTCATAATTACTACACTAGGAAATGTTCCAAGAATTATCTGCATTATATACAGTCAACAATAGTACAGTACTCGCATGTAACACAGCAGACGAAGTGTGATTAGGTTTAATTATCCATGCACGATAGCAACCCTCCTCGCTCGAGGTCTTGACCAGACTAATTTGACAAATTTATCCTGCGAGCAGACATAGATGGTGCCAGTTATGATACGCTTACCGTGGGTCTTCATGCTACAACCTGTACTTCATCCCAAGTGTCCATAGTAGTTTTTATAATAAAACTATTTTTTATCTTGAGAACACCACTGGTGACCTAGACGGAGTGTAGCGCAAGTACAGTATTTGGACAGGCCCCCTAGTGACCAAGACCGTGAAATGTTTAACCTTTCATCTGCTATGACGCATCTAAGTGTTCACATCTGTCTGATGTGAATATTTCATATTTACATTTTCTACTTTCTCCTTATTCTGCCCAAATATAACTCTCAAGCTCATTGTTACTGTTCTGTTAAATTAATATGTTTCTTCATGTTATATCCTACATGTTGATTGATTGTATAATTCCAAAATGAATCCCCAACTTCCCAATTTTGACAGTCTTCTCTCCATACAGTTTCTAATGCACCTTTTAATAATTTTATTTTTATCCCGATTCAATTTGTCACCCATGTTCCACCAGCCGACACATCCATTCCGAGATACAATAACTGAAACATCACTTTCTCCAGTCAAGCTGGTGTGTATTACACCATTTCTTTGCAATTCACATTCCTGGTTAACTATATCCTTAGTAAACACACTTCCAGATTCATTTCTTACACATTTTGTATTATTTAATCATACATTTGTAAATGGCACTTAATTCACTTCCATTTGTAATCTGTATTGTTTACCAAGCGTACTACCCTCTTAGCCATATTCAACTGAATAAAACCATGGCATCATTATGTATCTTTAACATAGATTTGCTCTCACTTAAAGCAGATTCTCTCTTCACACCACTCGTTTTCCTTAAAACTTGATACATACGTGTACTGTACACCATTTTCTAAACTTACACTACTTGTCTCCTAATACTTGGAGAATGTTACAAATAGAAATAAATGGTTAGATAACTGTTTTGGATAAAAAGCAAAATACATTTTGTTTACGTGGAATGTTCATTCATTATTTAAGAAAAAATAAATATATTATTTGTACTGTAATTTCACCCAGATATTATTTAACAGGACTTTAATTTACCTATTGGTTAAATCGGCAAAAACAAAACCCAACTATTTTGATTGAGCCTCAATCCTAGATGAGGATGATCAAAATTTGACAAGGTACTACATAAATATACATTAGTGTTTTAGGACCAGTTCTATATTAATCAAATTTTTGAGGTATCCTGTAGGAAACCAAGTGAATGAGTCCATTACAATTTCCTTCCTTATTCCTACCAATGAGGGAGATATATACTTAGAGCATTATAGATATCTCGTTCATAGTTGGGTGTAGTCGGGCAAAAAATATGCATCATCTTACTCAGAGAGGAGTTACATGCCCTACTCATTAGAGCAATACAATATTTTTAATTACCTGGTGTACTATGCTTCATCTGTTCCACTCCAGTTTCCTGGTGTAATGTGCTATCTGAAGGTATTAGCTTCCATGAAGTGTTACTTGGTGCTACCATATGCACTTGATGTAGCAGGCTTAAGACGATTTGTACCTGTTCTACTCTTGAGAATGGAATTAAAGTGTGGCCACTTGACTGATAGTGTACCAAGATATACTGTAGAAAAGGTCCCCGGGTTAAGAACAAGGTCCCATAAAATTAAAGCTTTAATTTTATTATTATTCTTTAATGGGGATTAGCCCACCCAGGAACATTAGACAACAGAACTGTTTCCAATATCTTCCCAGGTGGTAGTACCTCCTTATTTGGTGTCTACCTAAACCTGATGATTTATTTGTTTACTTTCATTTACTGTATTTTGTTATTCCAGTTCTTTTCTTTTAAATTAAATGATTTGCAATGCATATAAGGACTTAGGCTATGATATAGTGGGATTTGAAACATTGTTATGTAAGTATGGTATGAACATAGGATATGTGGTTCGACTTAAGATTGTCTGTAGCAACGAAACTTGTATATAACCTGGGGACTGCCTGTAGTACAAGTTTAGGGGTCAGAGGATATGAAAATGACAACAAATGATGGATGGACACGAGAAATATATTTCCTTTTAAAAATTCTGAAACTCCCATAATACTGTGACTGGCAACAAGTTGTCAAAAGTGTCCGGTTTATGCAGGTATCTTGACCTTGGCTTGGTTGTTTCGATGGGTCAGTGATTAACTGTATGGAAGGAGTCTTGGCTTCAACTAATTATGATGTGTTGGACATATGGGGCTTGAATATGCAGGTAACATACAGTACACCTCATCTCAATTATAATCTGAAAAAGCAAAGGTGTAAGAATTATTAAAAAAAAAAAAATTATATATATATATATATATATATATATATATATCACACACTACTGTGTATGACTTGAAATGTCAGTTAGCCAGTAGTTCTTATCAGAACAGGTCCATCACATGTGTACAAGAACCTCTCGATTTACGCACTAATTACATTCTTGAAAATGGTCGTGTAAATCAAACAATGTAAATACCACAGTAGAGATTAGGGAGGTTCTTCATTAATAAGACAGCACCTAATATTATATACACCAGTGAAAAACTGCAGTACAGTATACACGTACCAAGAAATATAAAATATCAGCTGTTCATTCATCTCTCTCAACGTTTGACCACATCCATCTTAATGGATATGATTTTATACTTCTTAGCATCACAGGTACCAGAAAACTTAAAAAAGAAATTGGTGGTAAGATGCAAAGCAGGTGCAATATACTGCAGCACTCTGTGACAGACTGCATCAACGCACTGAGGACTGCAAGGCGGGAAGCTGGCAAACACCACCACACTGCCATCCCAATGATGCTGTTTGCCGATGGTCGCATTACAATAAGTCCTCGCTTAACATCGGGGTTACGTTCCTAAAAATGCTACATTATACGAAACAACGTTAAGCAAATCAATTTTCCCCATAAGAAACAGATAAAATACTGGAGTTAATTACCCGAGCCTCCCTTTGCCCTATGAAATACATTACATATACAGAAAATCATTGCCATTTCTATAGAAAATAGTGCATACATATACAACTACTAAGTTTGAATTGGTACTCACTGATGGGCAGAGGTGGTAGAGGGAGTGTGTGGTGGGTAGCGAAACAAAGGAGGCAGATAGCAGGGGGGATGGCTGGAGCGGAGTAGGGTAGCGAGTCACTGAGACTGCACCGAGCCAAGAGAGCATGGCCAGACAAGAGCAGGTGATGCGACATAGAAAGTAATCCGCGACAACACAAAACGACGTAGTATCAGATCACCGGGACGTTAAACGAATTGTTGGTCTCTTAAATTTTAGCGACGTAGTACCGAAAGAACGTTAAGTGCGGACTTACTGTGTTTCAAACACAAGCCGGTGTAAATACAAAGATTAAATTACGTAAACCAAACATACGTAAATGGTGACGTACTACACTTGATACCAGTTATATGATTGTCCAATGTTTCAAAAGCTTGCTATATTTACTACTGAAAAAGACAGGAAAATACTGTAGTGTACCCACCTTAAGGCAAAACCTTCAGGATAATGTTTCACCACAGAAGATCATCCTAGAAACAGTAATTAAGAAATTTAGATAATGTTTAATTAGCCCTTGATAATATTTAACATGATCAATTCCATCAGCATCAAAAATAGCTTCAAGTGTCGGTCAGCCGGCAATTCCTATCAAGATGGGTTCATCATGTGTATATCCAATATATATATGATGTCACAAACATTATAATTATGAGAATATAATACTGTACCCAAATGTTTAACATTTTATAAATTATCCTCCATACAAATAAAACAACCACAATACAGATCTATTCACCTTAATTCAAGAACTCCAGAGAGTTTAAATGTTGATTCCCATTACAGCAGCTTCCTAGAAAAACAAAACAAAATATGAAATAAAAAAGTCCACACATCCTTAAACAGTGAATTACAAAGTTTCATCAGCACTGAAGTTGGCTTCAAGTATCGTTCAGTCGGCAATTCCTATCAAGATAGGTTCATCATGTGTATGCTTGACGTGGCACCTACATCACATTAAGAGTAACTATGCTCATATTTCTAAAAGCTGACAATATAGTGTGTCATAATTACAAAGAAAGATAATAATACATACCTCTTTAATACCAGGACTCCAGAACAAAATTCCCAGGATTTTCTTCCACAGCCAGACCTCAGTTCTTGAATGAAAAAGTGTATCCTAAATTTGGCATCCTTATTTTGTATGTACTGTAATTCGGCAAAAATTTCAACAATAAAATGATTTAAAAAGCAGGTCACCTGGCTATTCCTATAAAGGTAAGTACTGTACATCATAATGATGCTTGTTTTGTGTGAAACTCACCAAATGCCACATGTAAATATTGTTCTCAGATGATCAAACGCAAACAATTTATCATATGTACAAAGAAACAAAGTAGTAGTACATATTTACCTTAATCCAAGAACTTGGTAGAATTCTCAGAGATGCTGTTCCATCACACAAGCTCACTCCTAAAAAAGAAAATTCATTTATTAAATAAAAATACTGTACAGTATACCTATCTATAAACTGTAGGACTAAAATTTCTTCAGCACTGAGGGTGGCTTCAAGTATCGTTCAGCCGGCAATTCCTATCAAGATAGGTTCATCATATGGATTTTCAAATTGCATAAAAGTTACAAATATTGATATTATGTTTAGAAGCTTCCATGACAACATACTAAACTAGATCAATCAGCATGAAAGGCTACTCCTGTTCTTTCCCAATGCAAAGCGGAAGACTAAATTACTCAGAATTTATGGGGTATAACTCCCAAGTGGTACAATTAATCACTTCAAAACTGTCACACTCATGAACATACTAATCTAAATATTAGCAATTACAAGTTTAATATGAAATGTGTCCACAGAGAACCAAACGTGAATGTTATATGCCACTGAGTTAGAGATGGGAGATGTAAATACAATGGTACTTAACAATGAGACTTTTTAAGACCCTCCAAAACTTTTTGTACATGATAATTTGTACACAATAAAAAGATACCTACACTATTTCTATTATATAATCAAAGTTTCAAAAGCTTACTATATTTTCTACTGAAAAAGACAGGAAAATATTGTAGTGTACCCACCTTAAGGCAAAACCTTCAGGATAATGTTTCACCACAGAAGATCATCCTAGAAACAGTAATTAAGAAATTTAGATAATGTTTAATTAGCCCTTGATAATATTTAACATGATCAATTCCATCAGCATCAAAAATAGCTTCAAGTGTCGGTCAGCCGGCAATTCCTATCAAGATGGGTTCATCATGTGTATATCCATTATATATATGATGTCACAAACATTATAATTATGAGAATATAATACTGTACCCAAATGTTTAACATTTTATAAATTATCCTCCATACAAATAAAACAACCACAATACAGAACTATTCACCTTAATTCAAGAACTCCAGAGAGTTTAAATGTTGATTCCCATTACAGCAGCTTCCTAGAAAAACAAAACAAAATATGAAATAAAAAAGTCCACACATCCTTAAACAGTGAATTACAAAGTTTCATCAGCACTGAAGTTGGCTTCAAGTATCGTTCAGTCGGCAATTCCTATCAAGATAGGTTCATCATGTGTATGCTTGACGTGGCACCTACATCACATTAAGAGTAACTATGCTCATATTTCTAAAAGCTGACAATATAGTGTGTCATAATTACAAAGAAAGATAATAATACATACCTCTTTAATACCAGGACTCCAGAACAAAATTCCCAGGATTTTCTTCCACAGCCAGACCTCAGTTCTTGAATGAAAAAGTGTATCCTAAATTTGGCATCCTTATTTTGTATGTACTGTAATTCGGCAAAAATTTCAACAATAAAATGATTTAAAAAGCAGGTCACCTGGCTATTCCTATAAAGGTAAGTACTGTACATCATAATGATGCTTGTTTTGTGTGAAACTCACCAAATGCCACATGTAAATATTGTTCTCAGATGATCAAACGCAAACAATTTATCATATGTACAAAGAAACAAAGTAGTAGTACATATTTACCTTAATCCAAGAACTTGGTAGAATTCTCAGAGATGCTGTTCCATCACACAAGCTCACTCCTAAAAAAGAAAATTCATTTATTAAATAAAAATACTGTACAGTATACCTATCTATAAACTGTAGGACTAAAATTTCTTCAGCACTGAGGGTGGCTTCAAGTATCGTTCAGCCGGCAATTCCTATCAAGATAGGTTCATCATATGGATTTTCAAATTGCATAAAAGTTACAAATATTGATATTATGTTTAGAAGCTTCCATGACAACATACTAAACTAGATCAATCAGCATGAAAGGCTACTCCTGTTCTTTCCCAATGCAAAGCGGAAGACTAAATTACTCAGAATTTATGGGGTATAACTCCCAAGTGGTACAATTAATCACTTCAAAACTGTCACACTCATGAACATACTAATCTAAATATTAGCAATTACAAGTTTAATATGAAATGTGTCCACAGAGAACCAAACGTGAATGTTATATGCCACTGAGTTAGAGATGGGAGATGTAAATACAATGGTACTTAACAATGAGACTTTTTAAGACCCTCCAAAACTTTTTGTACATGATAATTTGTACACAATAAAAAGATACCTACACTATTTCTATTATATAATCAAAGTTTCAAAAGCTTACTATATTTTCTACTGAAAAAGACAGGAAAATATTGTAGTGTACCCACCTTAAGGCAAAACCTTCAGGATAATGTTTCACCACAGAAGATCATCCTAGAAACAGTAATTAAGAAATTAAGATAATGTTTAATTAGCCCTTGATAATATTTAACATGATCAATTCCATCAGCATCAAAAATAGCTTCAAGTGTCGGTCAGCCGGCAATTCCTATCAAGATGGGTTCATCATGTGTATATCCATTATATATATGATGTCACAAACATTATAATTATGAGAATATAATACTGTACCCAAATGTTTAACATTTTATAAATTATCCTCCATACAAATAAAACAACCACAATACAGATCTATTCACCTTAATTCAAAAACTCCAGAGAGTTTAAATGTTGATTCCCATTACAGCAGCTTCCTAGAAAAACAAAACAAAATTTTAAATAAAAAAGTCCACACATCCTTAAACAGCGAATTACAAAGTTTCATCAGCACTGAAGTTGGCTTCAAGTATCGTTCAGTCGGCAATTCCTATCAAGATAGGTTCATCATATAAATACTGTGTACCCCTGTACTTGCTTTTTATCAACATGACCGATTACTGAACTGAACCACATGATACAATGCAACCTAAATTAAAACATAACTACTGTATTTGGATCACCCAAGCTTCTCCAAGATCAACCTTGATAATGCTCCCTGAGAGGAGTTTAGCTTAATGTTATGGTGAAATAAGTTGGGGGTGGGTGGTGAAGCTTCAGGTGATCCCACACCCCTATGTTGGACTGAATGTGGTTTCCACTCAGCAATTTCTATTAGGTAGATTCATTATGCAAATACAGGTATGTCACAAGTACCAAATATATATTATAGTCAAACTTCCAAGATTAAAATACAGTAAAGAGTATACCTAACTTTCATAAAAATATAATAGTGCTCACCTAAATTCAAGACTTCCAGAAATTTTCCAGGACATTGTTCCTCCACATAATCTCAAACCTAGAAATAATTATAAAATGCTAAAATATTGTTGAAATATCCCCAAATTACACATAATTCAGTAAAATTTCATCAGGAGTAAAAATGGCTTCAAGTGTCGTTCAGCCGGCAATTCCTATCAAGAGAGGTTCATCATTTGGTTAGACAGGTTATCCACTTTTTATATGAAATAGATGTGTTCCTGATATTTCACATCACAGAAAATTTTCTAGAATTATATTAAACTACAGAAAACTATTATATAACTGGAGATTCATTCCTTGGGGAAAAATACATCCAGGAGCAAATGCCAATGTTTAAAATTTATCCTCTAACAGAAATAAACAATAATATAGTATTTACCTTTGTGTGAGGCCTCCACTTAACCATCAAGGACAGTGTTCCACCACAGTCGGTTCTAGAAAGAAAAGTCTCACAAACACCTTTAAACTGACAATAAAATACCAGCTTATGTTTAGTGCAGTGAATTTTTATCAATTTATACAGGTTATAACAAGAAAAGGATGCTAAACTTAGAAGTACAGTACTGTATATTAACAATCATGAATAGGAATATAATAAAAACTCTTAACATTTCTCTATGAAAACCAACCTTTCACTGGAAGAGATCTGGCATCTGGTAGCTAGTGTTGATTTTCCTTGTCACATCGGAGTATTCTAATCTGACCTAAACTGGGTGAACACTCGACCATATTTGATCCTTGACATGAAATCTTTAAACCCGACTACAGACATTAGATGTTCACTCCCCAACCTTCCATGGAGATGGTTGGTCGTGCAATACTCAACAAAATATTTATCCTTGTATGTAATCAAAGTACAATATTACTCTTTCCTAATGAAACAAACTTTAGTATACACACTAATCACACAAAAAAAATTAGGATAATGAAGGTTAAAGAATCAATATTTCTTTATTTAGTCAGCAATTGTTTATTTGGCTTTCTTGGCCTTGACGACTTCCCTCTTTGCCTTCAGGTTTTGTTTTTTGATGTGGAAGTAAGCAGTCTTGACAATCTTGTTTCTTGTCTGCCTTGCCCTTCCCAACTTGTAGCGATCAAAGTCAGTCATGTTTGACCGCTGAAAAGGCATCTTATTCCATTAAACTGTTTACTATTGATCAATACTGTACAATATTATAAAATATATTTAATTCTATATACTGCACAGTAGAATGTATTGTTTACCATTTATATTTATTAATTATATAATTTCTTCCAAAAATTGCTTAAAACTATTTCAAATATCCAATAAAAAATACTTAAATCTAGTATTTAAAAAATTAACTTTGGGTATTAACTGTTCCAACAAACTTTGTAAATTACAAATGATGAGTGGTAATACAATGATAATGAGGGGATTACAGATGTCATTCAGTAGATAACTCAAACCTACCAAAGGAACAAGAACTAAGGTGCCTAAACATGAGACAAAACAAATGTATAGTAAGGGGGGACCACTCAAGTGACACACACATAATCTATTCAGATATAATTTTATAAAAGAAACTTATCTTAACCCTCTGAACAGAAGTTGTACTTTGAACAATGTGTTACAACATGGATTACATGGGATAACCTCATATGGGATTGAGATGACATCAAACTTGCTATTTCTGTGTTAGGTAAATTAAAAGTTAACTCACCAGGACATCCTTGTTCAAGTTCTTGTTCCACACAGAACCGTCAAACTTCTCGGTAATCTTTTCATCGTCCCAGGCCTTTCTCACAAGCTTGGATCTCTGGCTTCGGTTTATTTTTAGCTGAAATAAATAATGACAGTCATATGTCAGGAAAAAGGGAGACAGGAGCACAGTAACAGGATATGTGCTTGATGAACTCCCCCTCCTTATCTGAGTCTAGTGAACCACGTTTATGTATTCAGTTACTAAAAAGTTGGAAATGTCGTCAGCATGACAAAGGAGAGTAATTGATAAGTCAAAAGAGAGGCAAGCAGGGGAAAAGTAAAGGGAGTGAAACCAGGAGTGTTTGAGAGAGTAAGAGCTAAAGCTGAGGCAGTGTTGATCAGTAATAAAATTTAAAGTTTTTTGACTACAGGTATAAGAGGGTCAGCCACAGAACATTATGAATCAGATAATAAGAAAGGAGAAAAGGGAGGGTTTTAGCGAATACATATGCACTATGGAATGAAAACAATGAAGAGTAAAGAGAGGTTCAAGGAAGACCTGTATTGAAAACTTATTACGAGAGTAAAAGTGATGGGGGACTTGCGTGTAAGAGTTGATTGTGGGAAATATGTAGTGCCAGAAATGAATGGCTATGAATAGACTGCTAGATATGTGTATTAAAAAGAGGATCTGTCACAAACAATTGCTTCAAAAAGAAAGCCCTATAATACATAGAGGCAGGAGTGATCTGAAAGTACTTCCTGAGGTGGGACAAGAGTCTGCCCATCATTTGGTAAAATTGAGATTAATAGTTAATATAAGGTTGAGGGTGAAAGATTCTAGGTGAAAAGGCTACAAGCCAATGAGCCAAGGAAAATCAATGTAAGTAAAATTTTAAGAACTAATCAAGATACACAAGAAATAGGGAGCAAAGGAGATGTCAAAGAATGGGGAGTTTGACAAATGTGCTGTGCCACCTTTAGAAATGCAGATGAGATGTGTAGGTAAAGTAATCAGGAATGAGAAAGAAGAAGATGGAATGGAATGCGAGGTTGGCAGTGCTAATAAAGAAGAGAAGAGCAGGTGATTGCCAATGGCAAGAAAAGATATGAAAAAAAAAATAAAATAAATAAATACAATACAGGGAAATTAGAAGTAAAGAAACAGGTGAAAGAATAAAAAGGAGAAGAACACTACTCTGAAGGGAACTATGAAAAAAAAACCCTATGAAGATAGTACTATTTAAGATTGAGAGGGGATACACTGCGGGTTATCAGGATCCAATGTGACTATTTGCATGTCACGCCACACGCTCGGCCACAGGGAAGCTTCCTGAACGTAAGTACAGTACCTCCATCTGCTTGTTTCATTATCATTGTTTGTCCATTTTATCATGTTGTATCTAAGCAATATTACTAAAACTAATGTAGTTGCATTGTAGTGTAGTATTACTGGAAAATAATGCTATGAATATGTTATAGATGTATTTATTTGTGGAATTATTATTCCGATAATTATTTATATGCATTACTTACTCTACCAAACACAAAGACAGCCTGGCGACGACTGCATGTGTGTCACCGAGCACTTTTTATGAAAAATAATGCAAATCAAATAATCCAAATGAATTATTTATCGGAAATAAGTATTATGATTAGTAAATATATGCATTATTGGCCATCCCGGATACAAAGGTAAGCAGAAAATGGCCGCTAAGTGCGTAGTGACCACGAGTGCTAGCCGTCAAAACAACACTGTCCCCTTATCTCCCTCGCCACTGCTGCCACAGGGAATTTCTAGAGGGCCAATATATTGTAGAAGTATCTTGTTTATACATGGAGAATTACATGATATCAAAGTAAAAGAGAAAAACAGTTTGGGGATGAGGCATGACTGACTGCATCAAAACTGAAGAATGTTTAAGTTATAAGTTATCAAGAGTGGATTGAATCACCAATGAAATGTTCAGGATGTGAGGTGGCATACTAACAGAAAGGATTACAAAAAGTGTACAGGCTTGGTATGACATGAGGGCAGGATCCCATAAGAATGACAAATAGTACATTACAACAGTTTTTAAATAAATGGATAGGTAAAAAGAAAACAGAAAATTATCGAGTAATATGTCTGTTGAACATTCCAGGGGAAATATGGCAATATATATCATTAAGATAACTGTAGCAAAACCTGTGTATTATGGGAAAAGCAGTGTGGGATTCAGAAAATGAAGAGGATAGGTGGTTGCCATCATGTAAATTTTACTGCTGGATGCAATATATGTAGGACTTTGAGTGCCCTCTTAGCTGGCAAGGTAACTACCCATAACTGAACTTAATTTGAAATTGGCCTTATTTTGCCAAGGTTTGAGTGATTATTACTAAAAATTATGAAAATTTTAGTGTACATTCCTTTATATCCTATGTATAAGCTTTCGGCATCTTCAAAGTAGAATCCAAAGTACTGTACATAGCTCAAATTTGTAATCTTATATACTTACCAAATACTTTGTGAGGAACATTTCAGAAAACATGAACCCTTGGCGAGGGACACCGGTGGAAGGTCCATCAATCAGAGCCTGGGAAATTAAAACCTTTCAAGTAGTTTTGTTTTTACCAAATCACAGCTCTTCAACATGTATTTTTTACCAAATGGAATATTCTTTGGTAACTCTGTTAAACTCTGTCAAAGTTTTTACAATTAGTTCATGGTCTAATGACACCTGTATTCTTGTTATATTCTAATCTATAAACAATTTTTACATGTGTATCACCTTAGTGTGAAACCAATTCAAACCAAATTTTTGTTTAATCCAGGGTTATCACAAGAAATCCTGAAAGCACCTCAACTTCTGTCAATTATCCAAGAGCTTTATTAATTGTTGAATTCAAGGTATGAAATTTAGTAGTGGTTCATAATATAGATAAGACAGCTGGAAACCTTATAACAATAAAAGCTGACAACTAATGAAAATTGCCAAAGAACCCTTATTTCTATCTCAAATTTACATCACTCGCACAATAGACCAATGAGAATCACATTTTGCACCCCCCACTGAGAAACCCTCAACAAACACTTCGCACAAATCTCCCTCCAAGCACACGTGATTATACACAGGCAGTCCTCACTATGCTAAATGGATATATTATGTAGAAATGATGTTAATAAATAAATCAAAACAGATCATCACTAAATGTAAAATTAAAGGAATACCCATATTCAACATATACACAGGGTGATTTATTTGAGAACTCCAAATAATTCCCATACGAAAAACTATACAAGGTAGGAAACTAATATTTTGCCTAAAAGTAGCCTATGTTACAGAAAGACAACAAACCGTAATCCTGAAAGTTATCAGGTATCATGTGACCCATCAGCGGCATTAAATGGTTTTCTCTCAGTTACACAATGGCACTCACTGTGTTCATCCTGCACAGGAACTTACCCTATTGGCATCGATAACGTCAACAATTACTGCCAGTCTGCCCTTGTATCGACCTTCATTGAGGTACACCACCCGCCCAATTTGGACAAGCTTTCGGAAAGTCTGGAAAGAAAATTTAAATACGCACGTTAAACAGTATTTAACTTTCATTGCATTGTTCATGGAAATATATGGAGGATATACAATATTCTAAAGTGGATTTGTGAGTGGTTACATGACAGGAAATGAGTAAGCAATAACGGCACTAAATCCGAGTGGGGTAATGTCACTAGTGGAGTAACCCAAGGCTCAGTACTTGGACCATTACTATTTACATATTGTATACATAAACGACACAGATATAGGTAGAGACAGCAACATAAGTAAATTTGCCAACGACACTAAAATAGGGCGTATAATTAAATCTACAGTAGTAATAAGGATATAAAAGAACGAAGTGAGAATATTGGCCAACGCATATACAATTAGTTATGTTATTGTATGTTAATGATACTCTGGATAGATTGGTTTAAAAAATCACAACTACACAGAAACAAGACCAGTATGAGTAACAAAAGGACTTGATTATGTCACACCTAATATTTACACATTTCCTATTTAGAGAGAGCAGATGCATTTACTCTTAATTTGTTAAAGTTAAGGTCAAATAAACATAAAAAAAAAACAATTGCTTTTCATATATTAAAATCAACCTTGTCCACATTTCCATTGTGGATCAACATTTATATATGCAATGGTTAAATTAAGACAAATTTAGATTCAGGCATGAGATGGGTAAACACTGGTTTGGAAACAATGGTGGATGAGTGGAACAAGTTACCGAACTTCATCATTAACTTGAACACGCTGGAAAGCTTCATATTGGTTGGACAGATAAATGAGCGATAGGGGTTGGGTGTGAATGGAGCTGCCTAGTATGGGCCAACAGACTTGCTGCAGTTTCTTCCATTCTTATGTTCTTAATGTTTTCGAAGTGGAGATAAATAATCGTCCAGTGGCTGCCCTCAGGTTTTGGTATGAGAATAAGTCTTTGGGGGTTTTATACTCAAATCTGACTTTCATTTCTTGGACAAATTAGCAGTTTGTGCAAAAAACAAACATTTTAATTTTTTTTACAGAAACTGCGGTAATTATATAGGACTAACCCACGAGCGAAATTGATTGAAAACAATTATAAAAAATGTCGGATTTTCATTGTTATATTATAGTTATATTATAGCGAACTCGTAACAATGGTTTTAAATTAGACAAATTTAGATTTAGGCGTGAAATAGGTAAACACTGGTTTGGAAACAGAGTAGTGGATGAATGGAACAAGTTACCAAATATCATCATTAACTCGAATACGCTGAACTGCTTCAAACATAGGTTGGATGCTTATATGAGCAATAGGGGTTGGGTGTAAACGGGACTGCCCAGTATGGGTCAATAGGCCCGCTGCAGTTTCCTCCATTCTTATGTTCTTATGATATTTCTTCCAAGTTGGTTTGTTTACATGTACCCTGCATCACTTGTTTCAATTATTCTCTTCACCTTACCTCTGTCCTCAAATAATACTGTACAGGTATATTCTAGATGATTAATATATTGATCAGGCTATTTAACAGATCAAATATAACAAAGATGATTACAAAATACTACGATATATTTTGAAGGTTCTCCTTACCATGATCCCCGTACGCCGCCGACCTGGTGAAGGGTCAGTAAGAGATCGTCTGTAATATCCCCGATGTAAACACTCCATTTATATATATAGTTTTTTTTACTATTTACAAAAAAATTGTGATAAAATGTTTAAATATATAATATATTTATATTATATTAAAATAAATTAGATTATTTTTATATGAGTTTGTGAGGGTATTTATTTTCCGTATTTAATATTTTCTATGGCTGTCAACTCAACGTTCCTTTACTGTCTCGAGCTAAACACGGAGTCATGGGGAAGGAGGTTAGAATTATATTATCCATCAGTATTTCAATCATCATTGTGAATATATGAAAAGTGGTGCAAGTTTAACATTATTAGTGTATTAACTATTAACGTGCGTTACACTTCGGTGCCAGGAATTAATATTAGTATCGTATATTGATGAAGCAAGTGAATTGAAGTTTGTAAACAAACTGGTATGGGATATGTGGTCTGCCTGAATTGTAATTAGAATCCTTTATTTTCAGTCGGAGGCCACCGCTACTATCAGAACCAGGAAGTTCCTGACCAACAGGCTTCTCAATAGGAAGCAAATGGTATGTATTATACCTGTTTTCTCTTGATATGGAAGAAGCCATTATTTGGTAGAAATTAGTGAGTGTCATATTTGAAGATTAAGGAAAGAAATACCTACATGGAAGTGGGCAATTGTAGGTTAATGTCTGATTCGTTATCCTGGCAACTCTGCAGGTTGGGTAAACATACTGTACAATAATCTTGTTCAATGGGCCTTTGTTAGCATTTTCGTCATGGATATTTTGCCGTGACCGGCTAAATTCCTACTAACGATCTAGATACTGAGATCAGCAGTGACATAAGCAAGTTTGCGGATGACACCAAAATAGGGCGGCAGATTAATTCAGGGCAGGATGCAAACGCACTACAGGAGGATTTAAATAAACTGCAGGAGTGGTCAGAAAAATGGCAAATGAAATTCAACACCAGCAAGTGTACCGTACTGAATATTGGAAGAACAAATACTCTGTCAATGTATACAGCCTTAACAACATCAACCTAGAGAAGTCAACTTGTGAAAGAGACTTAGGGGTACTTGTAAGCCCGGACCTACTGCCTAGAAAACAGTACGTTAATGTTCGATATAAGGCAAACAGAGTATTAGGTTTTATATCTAGAAGTGTAAGTAATAAGAGTGCAGAGGTCTCATTGCAACTATATCTTGCGCTAGTCAGGCCGCACCTCGATTATGCGGTTCAGTTCTGGTGCCCTTATTATAGAATGGATATCAATTCACTGGAGTCGGTGCAGCGAAGAATGACGAAAATGATTACGGGACTTAGAAACCTTCCATAATAAGATAGGTTAAAGGAACTAAACTTGCATTCCCTAGAAAGACGAAGAGTGCGGGGATATATGATAGAAGTATTTAAGTGGGTGAAAGGAATCAATAAAGGCAATATAGATAAAGTTCTTATAATATCCGAGCAGGATAGGACTCGTAGCAACGGATTTAAGTTGGATAAGTTTAGGTTTAGGAGGGATATAGGAAGGAACTGGTTCACAAATAGCTTAGCAACTTTGTAGTAAGTGCTGGAAAGTTTAAAAAAGGCTAGATAGATTCATGGATGATAGAGAGTGGTAGTAACTCTAGACAGGAGCTGCCATGCACAGGCCAACCGGCCTATTGCAGACTCCTTTTGTTCTTATGTAACGCTAATTTATGGTGAGTGTGCTCTGATTGGCTAATAATTCATACTAGACAGCCCTGTTTACACATAACCCTTATCACTTTTATATCTATCTAACCTGCTTTTGAAGCTTCCCAGCGAGTCCGTGTAATGATGGTGGTGTTATTATATGCCATTGTCTACAACACTATTTCCAAACCAATCTGGGTAAAGATTTCGTTGACTTCATTATCAGATATTACTAACAAAAACAGGTGTTTGTATGTTATTGGGGGTAATTTAAAAAGAATGACCTTTATTTTTGGGGATGGTGTTGATAGATACTGGTCATTCATACAGTGATGAGGGAAAATAGTTAAAACCTTAAACACCAATCAAACCTTTGGCAACCTGACCTAATCTGTGATTGAGTAAAAGAGGACCGTTGTGTGAATTTTGAACAAAATCCACACGTTTCAAGTATATAGTCTACATAACTTATGGGCACAACGTAATTGACATTTGAAATAATATGTACTGTGTGTTAAAAAATTTCGAAGGTCACAGTACTGTACAGTATTGGAAATATTTCTTTCTGTAATGCTCCAAGCCAACTAACATAGGGGATGAGGGAGGGATAAAACATTTTATTTACTAATGTAATGTCAGTTTGCCCATTACAAGGTAAAGTAGTTGTATATACAAATATTGTATGGCCGTCCATTACAACAATGATTGGTTGAACTATTTGTTTGTCTTTTTAATGCACTTTAGACTTGTAGGGATCATTATATTCTCTGCTGAATGGAATATGTCTTAACAGTGTCAGATATTGAAGATTTACTATATTCATGTACTGTACTTAGCTCATAATAAATTACTTTTGAATTTTGTATCATGATCAATATTTTTTTCAGGTTGTGGATGTCCTTCATCCTGATCGGGCCACTGTACCGAAAACGGAAATCAGAGAAAAACTAGCCAAGGTAAAGTATTTCAGGATAATCTTCTGGAATGGATGTGAGAGTTACTACCTCATTCATGACGGGAACTTAATTGATGCTTTTTGGGTGCATAGAATGAATTATGGCGGGGAGTTGTGAAAAATAATAAGACCATGAAAATGTCTTAATTCTTATTGTGTGGTGTAATGGTTAGTGTAATTGCCTCAAGTGACAAGATCCACATGATGAACTTTTGGTACAAATTACTCCAAACTTAACAAAAGTGTTGCCATGGTAATGGTTCATGCAATTATAACATGATATTTTTTAAGATTTAAAAGAAATTTATAATGTGAAATAGTACTTATTGATGACTACAGTGCTTAAATTTACAGTAACCACCATCATTTCACTGAAAATATTGAAGCAGGTTGTGTCATGACTGTATATAATGTTTAATCTACCTACAAGTGCTCATAACACTACTGATGTACTCATTGGTGCTTATGATGACCTCAATGAAACTCAGGTATACATAAGGATATACAATATAGTGGCTCAGGAAATCAAAATGACTGTATGCTCATAATGGCCCCAAGTGACTCATGGATTTTCATAATAATGCCAAGTAAAGTGACTGCATTTTGGGTGTGTCCCACTTAACCTCACTTGTTACTTTGTTGACACACATCTTTTGTCCATTTTAAGTCTCCTGTACTTTATATCGCATCCATACTTGTAACATCTTTTCATACTGGATTTTAGATGTAATAATTCTTTCATTATCCTAGTTAGGTGGCAGTTCAAAGTATTTAATTATTTGTTTTAATCTTCATATAGCTACAGTCTTTCTAAGCAGTTGATCATTTGAGGCTTCATGTAGTTATTGGATGTTCAATATGTTTTTCATTTCAGATGTACAAAACTACTGGTGATGTTATTTTCTGCTTTGGCTTCAGAACAGCATTTGGTGGGGGAAAGAGCACAGGCTTTGCACTTGTGTATGATACACTTGATTATGCTAAGAAGATTGAGCCCAAATATCGTCTTGCGAGAGTAAGTGATAACTCTTGTCTGCTCTTGATAGTTGTCAAAAAAATTTCACCCCCTTATGAGGGGGGTGACCACAATGGAAAAGCCATTAGGGCACCCTACTACCCACCTTTTCCCTCTATATCCTTCAAGTTTATCCCATTCCCTGTTCTTTTCATAAAGTACAGTACAGGTGAACCCCAATAACTGACATCCAGTTGACTGATTCGCTTAACCAATGATTACATATTGGGGAAATACCCCGCAAGTTTCGTGGATTCCCCGGAGATCCGACGATCGGCAGAGCTGGCATGGTGTGAATTCTTGGCATCAGAGGGCTCTGCACACAGAAATGTCATTTGACATAAAAAATATGCCTTGGGGTAAAAAAATGGATTTTTGTTTAATTTTTCATACAAAGGAATTATTTTACATGCTGATCAAGTATTTGGGTTCACAATTTAAAAATTCGAGTACAGTATTGTATTGTTCTACCATTCTCTCAAACAATGTAGATGGTCCTTTTATCCAGTGTACTTCAAGGCTACATATTTAATATTCTCTGCTTCTGAATCTTTCCCACATTTCTTATCTAATGATTAAAAATGTGAAACTCTTATATTGTCTTATCTGCTAGATTTCTCAGTTATGTATGGTTTAGCAAGGTCCTGGTGTCAGTCTCCTTCCTATCTTATCACACTGTATCAAGGTTATGCACCCTTTTACCAATTCCTGTACTTTTGACCAAATCATTTCCTAATCCTAGCGTAGGTGTGACACTAGTGACCATAACCTACCACCCTTCGCTTCATTTCCTATTACATTACAACCATGGGGATATCACAAATCCCTGTTAACTCTCATTTGCCTTGCCGCTGGTGGTGTATGTGTTTGCTAAATCTAACAATTTTCCTCCTCCATTGGGCTTCATAAATGCTTCAGGCAGTTTTCAATTTTACCAGTCTATATTTCTGAGTACGGTGCAGGGGGGGTCCCACCCAAATTCGCTGGGGTTAGGTTCTCAAAATGGCTGCAAATCCGCGATTAACATTTTGGGGGGGGTGCATTTTTACCTGTGTGCAAAGAAATCTATATTCCCTTTGTGTTTGCCCTTAGGACAATTATTTCTATTACCTGTATTGTATATATGTGTGTGTGTAGACACACACACACATATACAGGTAATGGAAATTACTGTCTAGAATGAATGGCTCCCTGTCCCAGCCGCAAAAATGCCAGTGTCATCCACAAATTTGGGGGGGGGGCTGTACTGTAACCCTCGTTGTATGAATAATGTTCACTATTTATATTCATCTATACCAATATTCTCTTACACCTTTTTTTCACCAAGTATACAAAACTAATCTCATTTTTCCGAGTATGGTCCATTAAGCCGGGGGTTAGGGTGCTGCTGGCAGTAACAACAACCACCCCAGTGCACGTGGGTTTTTTTCCGTGCTTTTTCTTGTAGTTGGGGATTAATATACAGTAGTTAGGTTTTTTTTAACCCGTATGTCATTGCGGAGCCGAAATCATGTTTCCCATTTATGTTATTTGATATACGAATATTCACTTAACAATTGGTTTTCAAAGAACTTAATCCATTCGTATAACAAAGGACACCTATAGTCAGAGCCTGTGGTCTGAAGAGCTCTTATCTTTCCCTACATTGTTTTCCCTTGCCCTCTCGGTTGCAACCCTACCATATACTTTACCAGGTACTGTACACTCAGTAGACTGATTCCTCCCTTTGTCATATTACTTCTCCCCCTTTACAAGGGTATTATTAGAAAATGCTAAAAATTGTAATTTAGAATTCATGATGAACCTGTATGATAGGAATTGCCGACTGACGACATATGAAGCTAAACTATCACCTGAATTATAGTTTAATGTTTTTGTATTGGTAATTTGTTTTATTTTGAAGTTAATAGTGATCTCTCCCAATAGCAAGGCTTAATAGAAGTAAAGAGAACTGCCCGTAAGCAGAGGAAGGAGCGCAAGAACAGGATGAAGAAGGCTCGTGGTACAGCCAAGGCTAAGATGGCTGCTGCTACTAAAAAGGTAAACCATTATTGTTGATTTTGTTCATGTGACTCTGGAAAATTTCAGTATATGTCACTTAATAGATGAACAGCTTTGAGGAAATGTTGCTTGTAATTTAATAGCTGGTACAGATTTAATGTAACTTATGTTTTGATGGTTAGTACTTTGGGTTAATTTAAAGATCAAATACTGTACATACAGTATATGATAGTTTCTTTAGTCACAATAAATGGATCATTCCATCTTCTGTTTTATATACTACTAGCTATTTATTTAAACAAAATCCTTTGGTGTTTTCAATAAATTAGTAGGTCACTTAGCGTAGTGTTTTCTACTTATTAATGCTTCTCCATTTTTCTTTGCAGAAGGTACGTTAGAATTATTGGTCTTCACATCTGGCAGATGGGTAACCTTGCTGTAATGAGAATGTGTGAATGGGCCATACAGTGTGTTTGTGTTTAGTTGTTTGCTCTTTATGTATTGAATTGCATAGTATTAGAGGGAAATGTTTAAAGTTAGTTAAAACCAATTGTGACAGGTATATACTGTAGAAGAAAAAACATGTTCTCTCCAAAAATAGGTCCATAAGTAATAACACAATTTTTAGGCCCCCCCCCCCCCGTTTGGAAATAGTTGATTGTGTTGGAGTGGCTGTTTATGTTGTCTTACTGACGAAATGAGTGAAAATATTCATGTAGGCATGAGGACCGATAGTTGATTTTTAGAATGATCTGGCAGTAATCATGACTAAGTTTAGTGCGTGCACCACAAAGCTGACCTGCAATCAAGTGCATTTAATTTGATAGTCCTATTCTCTAAAAATGATCCTTCTCAATATCCTTTGACTTGTTTCCTTTCATGTTTAAATGTGATTTGGGCGGATTGCTACATTAATATATATATATATATATATATATTTTTTTTAGGATATTTTATAAAGGGAATGAATATAGATAGTAAATTAAACTAAAATATTAGAGATTATCATCATTGTTACCCATTTTTTAATGTGGGGACAAATATATTGTTGTTAAAACTTTAGTCACAATAACCATTTGCTTAATTTACTAATTTTATTTTATTTTTTCTCCCAACAGTAAATGGAGCTGTGAAGAAAAATAAATTTGAGATGAGAACTGGTAATTTCTTTGCCCGCTATTTGTATATCTGTGGAATTACACATTTTAACTAAAAAAATGTCTTTCAGAGATACCTCACAGCCTGCCTGTGGAATTTTGGTTGTCTATTCATCACAAATAGAATTTACAAACTGTATAAAATGGGATGACTTATGCAATCTTTCAGAGTGGCACTGAATGGGTTCCTCAAAGATTTTATAAAACTTTTGTGAAATTGTCTGGACTGTTAATTGGGAGTGGAAAGAGAAAGCAAGTATGTGCTGCTTCTCAGAGTATACTGTACAATACTCCTCGTATGAAGCTGTCATTCTTTGACCTGGTGATAACTTATTTTCATAAATATGAAAATCACCCTCTCCATACTTGAAGGTAATGCACTCCAATTGTATTGAGCCATGTAGTTGTGAACATGCCTTAACACTGGGAAAAATGGGCATTCGGTCATCCTTGTTAACAGGCGAGTACCGAGAAACCTAGATAACTGATAGACCTGGACAAATGAGAAAACTTGTGTACAATATTGCAAATTAACATTCGATGCATGTCTAAACCTGCACAAAATAACCTGCAACTTTTTGAGCTGAACATATGTACTGTATATTGTAATGACTTAATACAGGGATGGTGTACAGCAAGCATAGGCAAGCCGCGGCAGACCATGTGTTTGTACAGCCCGTGGAATGATTGAAAAGTTCTATTTAATGTGGCCCGCAGTCAGTTTATGGTGAGTAAAGCAATATTTATTTAAAGAATAATCTTCACACAATTTGTTAGTGTTTCATCACCTAAGAGGAAGTAACTACGAAAATGTTACCGTAAAATAAGTATATATAGTCAACAATATAAATAGTAACTTGTATGAGTTTATGGGCCAAGTTTGGAGAGTCCTGCTTGATGGATTAGCTATATGGCAGTGGGTCACTTGGGAAATAACAAAGGTTGATTAAGTCCAAGTGGGGTCACAGGGTTTAACTAATTAAGTATTTCCATAATAAAAAAAAATTGTGCATCAGAAACCCATAGCATTGAAATAAGGTAATTAATATCTTGCAAGTATCATTACAGCCACTAATTACCCTGCAATTGAGTCGTGGAACATAGATTCGGACTGCACGCGCAGGAGTACCAATACTGTACTGAGATTTTCAATTAAACCTAATTTTTGGTTGAAATCGCCAAAATATTAAGCCATATGTCTTAGTAATTTTTCAACTGAAATATACTTTTCTCTCTGATTTTAATTTAAGGAGTAATTAAATACTTCCAGAATAACAGAAAAATCGCACCTCGGAACCCATAGTTGACGAGTAATTATCATTTAAGTAAGTATCTATACTAACAGCATTCAATAACCACTAATTATCCAGAATCTAATCGTACCATAGATCAGAACCGGCATGTCAGGAGAATTTATACTGTAATTGCATTTAAACAAAATCTAATTTTGGGTTGAAACTGCCAATAAATAAATATAATTCCAATGTTAAAATTAGCATATCAGGAAGAACAATGGAACAATGTATAGGTACATTCTCTCTCTCTATAATATATTATATATATATATATATTATATACAGGTATATATATATATGATGATTAGCCCACCTAAGCACAGGTCACTGACCCACACCAGCCTGGGGGCAAATGTAATAATAATAATAATTCATAGGAAATAAAAATTTTAATAAAAAATACAAAATTGAAGATAAAATAATAAATTTATAGTGATGATAATAATAATAATAACAACAGGTCATAATAATAAAGAAATTCTAAAATGAGAAAAAAGAGAGAGAGGGAGGAAGATGTGCCTGTAAGTAGTTTTATTGTAGTTGCTCATATTCCAAGATTAACATTGGCATTATTCTGGTGGGTGTGTCATAAGTAAGAAAATGCTGTAATTGTAGGAAATATCAACGTATTCTGTTAAATGCCAAGAAACTTACATACTACCTAAAAAATTATGATGGATTTGTTTCATAAATGGGGAAAAGACTGAATGTAAACTGAAAATATCATAAGGTGGACGTGAGGATAAACTTCTTCACTGTCACCTAATACAATATTAACATTACTTTTGGGCTCGGCAGGGTATAAATTTGGTGGTTGGCAGGCAGAAAAATACCAAATCGTAATGCGGCCCATGAGTGCAGAAAGGTTGCCCATGCCTGGTGTACAGTATATAACCAGGGTAGAGGCATAGTCAATACATCTCAAATTATTCTTTTTAGAGGGCAGCTCCACACTATGGTAGTACAGTATTTTATTCTGGTTAATACCAGACAATTTTATTCAACCATGAGAACCCTTTGCCCCTTAAATGTGTTGGTACTGTGCCTTAAATTTAATTTCAAGTTCTTTTGCTCGTCATTTTGATGCTACGCACAACTAAGAGCTGGACTTGTTAGTACATGTTGTCACAGGGTTAATCAGAAATTTTTATGTAATTTTTGCCACGTATCAGCTTACTGGCTATTTGGGTATAACAGCTATGCAAATTAGCTACTGTACACAGAAAAGGTGACACTGAAAACCAACACATCCAATAATTTTTTTATTTTTTATATTGCATGCTGCCTTTATTAGCCACTACTGTAATTTCAAGAGTTCATAGCAGTTTCCTAATGATTCAGAGATGATATGTAACTGAAACATTTATGGGGAAAGTAGATATGTCTGCACGAAATTGTGACACAAGTAAGTAGTAACTGTAAAGTAATGGTAAATAATATAATACAATTTAAATATAAATGACAGGTTTTCAAAAAGTTGCTGCTTTATAAACAAAAGTATATGATAACTGATAGCTAATAATGGTTAACCCTTAAATGGTGGCCATTATCATTGGATGTTAGCGGTAGGCGACAGTGACTTACGTTCCTTTGTGTTCCATATTCTGCATACGGAGGCAAATTAGAGAATCCTTGGCCACAATTTAAGGGTTAAGAAAACTTAGCAAGTGACATCTTGTTCTGAGAATAGATTTATGTTGAAGTAATAAATTCATGGATAAAGATGTGTGAGTAAATAGTTCTTTACTATGATGGTATTTGGTGTCAAATAAATAAATAAATACATAAACAAATGAGACACACTCATTTGTTTCCAAAAGTTACAAGGATGTACTAAATCACTTTTTGCCTGATGTCACTGATATCAAATTACATCTGGTTAGAGATAAAAGTACCGGGTATCTCCACATACGGCTTTGACTTGATTCAAAAGTGAGAGTCCTGTACACTTGCTACAGAAAGTATCTGTAAGGTGGGGGCCAATGGATGTCAGAATGAACACAGATTCCTGTTGTGTCGGTAGGGTTGTCAAAACCCTTTGTCTGTTGTCATATCCCTCGTTTAATGAAGGTTCAAGATAAGAAAATTCGCTTATAAAAATTAACTAAGTTAACACCTCTTTTTCATCTAATAAAAGCTTCCCCTGCTAATACGAATTTGGGTCCCAGCAAAAATGTAAATTGTGTGCCTTGGGAGTCAGCTGGGGCAGCAATCTTATGAGAGATGGGCAGCAGTGTATTCTCGCTTAATGATGATAACCCCAGATCTAAGCGGAGGCAGCATCCAAGCTGGGCTGAGTTGCTATGGGGAGCTTTGAGGCCATATGGCTGCATATTGTGCAAATAACGGCTGTATTAAACTTTTATTTAGCTTTTCTTGATGGTTTTAGCTGCACATTTTCATATAGATAGAACTCAGTGTTTTATTAATGTTTTAAATGTGTTAGGTAGTGAAGTAGTGTTACTGGATACAGTACAGGTACTGCACTATTTTTCATTAGTTGTGTAGGTTTTTTGTTCATGAAGCAATTTCATATTTTGGGGGTAATAATATTGGGTTTCTTTGTCGGTGAAGAACCGAACCCTATTTTCCTATTTGTTCTATTATTTGAGTTATTAAAATCCACATAATGAATAGTTTTCCAGGAACTAACCCATTCGTTAAGCGAGGAATACCTATACAATACTGTAAATGTTTCATTTAGAATTTATCGGAAATTAATTTTCATAATTGAAAAGAAAATTGTTACAATAATTTACATAGATGTGATGAAAAAGTTAAGACAGTAAATTATGACAGGTAAGATACACATAGCAACATAAGCATATAAATTCAGTAATACTGTATTTAATTTAATACATAAAAGTAAAAAATAATATAAAATTTAAGAAAGTTAAAAAGATATGCCAAATATCACAAATTATTTTATTAATAAAGTCTACTGCTGGATAAAATTAAGAACTTTCCGTAAGTTCACCCAGTGTCTGCTTCCTTTGTTCATACAATTCTTCAACCCACTGCTTCACTTTGGGGTGCGTAAATTTTCCTTCGGTGGACTTGAAAAATTCTTCCAATGTTCCTATTCGATTCTGACTTGTTTCATATTCAAAGGCTTGTAAAATCATGTCGAACCTATCCAAGTCTTTAACAAGTTTTGCCTCAGGTGTCTTCTGATCTTCATATTCCTGAAAATAATAATTCCACTTATTGCATACAGTACAGTATATTACAGTACCTCTACTTGCAAAAAGTAAAAATCAAAATTCAAACAGCAATACTATATTGTATACAAGGTGATCCTCAATTATGCATAAATTACAGGATGTGTTTCTGAGACTTCTAAGGCACAATGTCGACAGGGAAAAATTTTGGAATCCGCAGTTTCCTAGCTACAGCACTTGAAAGAGTGCAGAAGCTAAGAGTACCTGCTCTCTTCTATGAGAAGAAGTAATAAACAATGGCATAGATTGCAAGCATAACTCCTCTCCCAAAGGGTGGGAGGGTTTGACACAGGTGTAGCTTCCATGAGTACCTCATCTCACTTCCCAGACTACTGGCAACCGACACAGGGACACTCCAAGATGCTTGTATCATCAACTCTGCATCTTTTGATATGTAAAAAATTAGCAAATTTTTTGTCATCTTGGCATTTTGCTTGTAATAAAGCAAAGGATCCCCCCCGTTTGTACAAGTTCAGCTCAGGCCCAATGCATGATCATGTGATATTGCAAAATGGCGAAAAGGTACACAGGCGGATTTTACAGTTGAACCGTTACTCAGGTTTAAATTGTTGGTACTTAAGTTAAAATGGTTGATGTTTTGAGGTATCTGAAGTTTGAAGATAGAGTATTTTTTTTTTAACGGGGATTAGCACAGGTCACCGACCCACATCGGGGCCTGTGGGGCGAAAATGTAATATACGTAATAGTAATAATAATAATTCATAGTACTGTACTAGAGAAACAGTGGCTATCCAATGAATTATCCGTAATCTCATCACAATAACTAGATGAACTCACCATAAATAAGTTGAACATCTCATTGCCAGCTTTTTCTCCAACCAAGGTAATAAAGTGCTCCATGGCTGCCACCTCTCGTGTATGTTTGTCTTCTTCTGAGACTCCACAGAGTGGAGTGAGGTCACCCACTACACTTTCTGCCATGTCATGAACCAGAGATATCTTCATAACTCTGAAATAAATCTACTTATAGCATCAATTACCTTAAAAAAAATCATAATACTACAGTATGAATGGCCCATTTACTATATACAGTACAGTAATTTGTTTGGTATTTTTTTATATGTACCGGTAGGTCCTTTATATTTCTGTACAGAACTGTTTATTTCAATGCAGTGTTTCAAGAATCTGATTTCTGATACATGGAAGAAGTGAGTTTAATTGTTCAACTAAATTTCTGATTAAAAAAAAAAGCACAACTAAAATTTCACTGCAAACAGCAAAATCTCACCGGTCTCTATTAACATTATCATTTTCATCAAGCAGGAAAGATATGATTGCCATTCGGTACATATGACCTGATATAGTTTCTGGTTCGTTGACATTGCTAAGAACCCATCCAGTTCTTTTCACATGCTGGAATAAAGGGAAAATTACCAATTAAAAGCTCCTACACAAGTTTCTCACTGAAATCTGAATATTGAGGTAGTGCCAGAGGCTGATATATATTTATCAAGGCATTAAATATGAAATATTAGACCTAATAAGACCATGGCAATAGGTTTCATCATGGGTAGTCCTTTTCACTGAGTGTTATGGTATAAATTAATTTCGTTACCTCTTGTACACTCAAATTATTTCTTATTTAAAACCTGCCCCTAAAATTTTTACTCTAACTTGTTGTCAATCTAAACTACAATAATACGTGTTGGGATTGTTGATGTCAACATTTGTCCAAATATAGAAGTTAAATCATTATCAGGCTCAGGCGAAACTTGATCCATGTATCATTTCGTTTAGATAATTCATATCATGAACTTAGGAAGCACAGAAATCACAGCATGGAGATAAAATTAGGAGGGATAAAATTATTGAACTTATTACATTTGTGTAGCATTTGCCCAATTGGATTGAGGCAAATTTTAATAGGATATAGTCCTTAGTAATTATATTAAAGGTTAAATTCGTATGAAACACAATGAAATACACTAAACACCAATACTGTATTCCATAATAATTTCCATGCCTGCAACTTTGAAAACACAGTTTTATTTTGATATGTATTTTAAATTACTTTAAATAAGTTCGTTAGGGTCATTATTTTTTTTTATATATTGTTAACAAGAGGAAGACAAACTCAGAGGTCCATGGAAATTGAAAATTCCTCCACCCATTACTCTCTATTCACGAGGTAAAAGTCACATATTCCTCTTACTAGTACTGTATAGATAAGTGGGACTAGTGTACACTATTGGTGCTCACCTCAAAAACTTGTCTCATTTAATTTTAAAGTTTTATTGTCGTCTTCGTAACATTTCATGGTACATTATTTGATTTACTGTTGCCTTCCCATTAGTCTGACGTCTTAGGTATTACCAGAACACGTGTTAAGGTGGCACTATAACATTCTTATTCCTTCACCTACAACATGTAATACAATGATGTTATTAGTTTTGGACAAATTCATTCCACACCTTCAGCCATGACAGATAGGATTAGGAAACCATTTAAGATTTTAGGTTAAAACATTAAGTAAGAAATAATGGATCTTACCTTCAATCGACCTATATGTTTAAAAAATTCCAAGCAACTTTTAGCACTTTGTGTCGCCATTCCGCAATACAGTATCTTGTTCACAGCTTAATGAGGCACTGATGGGTTCTGTTCTGTCTGTGATTGTTGTTGTATTTTAATATAAGTGAATAAAACAAATAAGAAAAATATAACTTTAAGGATCATAATGCCACCAGAATAGACTAATAAACGTTATTAGCTTTGTAAAATAGAATCAGAAAGTACACATATACCTTCTTCTAGTGTCTATAGATACTCTTGATCCAAATGAGAAGCTCTAATGGATACTCAATATTTCGTTTCATAACATTAGAATGATTTCTTAATAAGTAATATTTATTATGAATTTTAATATACATTTTATTTAATATTATCACATGGGAACTGACATTATATCATACCATATGACAATACTTGATATTGTATCACTTGATCATAGCTGCAACTAAAATAACAATGGCCTCCTCCGTAAGACAGAGTGTTTTAATATTGACAACTAAAGTGTACCGGCCTTTGTTAAGATGTTGTTCATCGTTACCCACACTAAAAACTGTTCAAAATGCAAGCGAAATTTCCACAGAGAAGTCAACTGCTGAGCCTGGTGGGTTTGCGAAAGCATTTGCAAAGTACCCAAGAAGCAAGTACAGAGGCAGAGCCTAAGGAAGTTCATCCTCCCAAAACATTCGTCTCTCTCTTGAGGAATTCTAAACTGATGCAGGTATGTGATATCATGCTCTTAATCCATTGATGGCAGGGGCTTTTCTCAGCTGAATAAAATCACCTGACGTTTGCCAGAATAAAATACCTAAGTGTGACACTACTTAAGGGTTAGATTAACAAAACCAATGGTAATACCAGTATTATTGCTTTTAATTGCCCCACAAATTTAGGCTAGGTTAGTTTGTTAGGTTCTGATGGCAAAAACATCTGGCTGGGGCCACTGTGGTGGTCTGGGGGGGTGGGACAATTCAAAGAAAATATACCGTAATACCAGCCCAGGAGTGGCCAACTGGTGACATGAGCTAAGCAATGGCCAGATACATTTTCAGAGACACACATATAAGTGATGAGTAATGGGTAAATGGGTGCTTGGTAATCTTGTACTTAATGGGCGTATAATTACCAACACTGTTGTTGACATTATTACCTTTTACATTCATCTGACTGGGAACCTTGCAAAGTATTATATATACAGTATATATATTTTTATTATAAAATTAACCAAAATAACCTATCTAACCTTACCAACCCAATATTATTAGGAGGTTAAGTTAGGTTATATGCGAGGGAAATGTCAAAGAAGAAAAGTGTCTTAAGAATTATCTAAACTCTTGATTGTAAAGATAAAATTTCTAAGGTTCCTGTGTTACCAAAAGTGAAAATTTACTACCAACTCGATCTTAACTTGAACTCCACCTTAGCATTAATTTATTATTTAGGTTAAGTTACGTAGGTTAGTTTGGTTCATTGTATGAATGAAAATTTATTGTGTACTACTGGGCTAATATATGCTGGTGACCGTCAGCAGTTTGATAATTATGGAGGGTGTTTTTAGACACAGTTTTTTATGCTGATTACTTTCATTTTTATTTATATTTTGGACAAATGCTTAGTTTTCGAAATATGGGTGAGTTAAGATATAGGTTTTCTTAGGTTTGGTCAGGTTAGCACATTGTTTCAGCCATTTTTATATTTTTTCAAAACAAAATACAGTATCCCATAATAAAACCAATAAAAAACTGAGTACAGTACTGTATTTTTAAACCAGTTTTCAATGAAATATCAGTGGACAGTCATTAACTGAATAATTACCCAGTACTGGACTATACTATTGTATTAATGTAATAATACTTGATACTTATGAAAAGTCCCTGTCACCCAGTGTATGTGGTAAAAACATGCAAAAAACTGATGAGAGGGAAGAAGATAATTGCTCAGGGCTGCCCAGCTGATTACAGTACATCAAGCAGTTTAAATTGTGGCACAAAAATATAAAACATCAATTGACAACAATTTCAGTGAACTATGCATCATCATTTGGTGATTATTGTGAAATGTGAATAAACTTCCAACATTTTCTGGTGTATTTCATCTTTTATTTAATACTCAAAGTATATTTAAAGATAGAATTGCATTATTAGTTTATTTTTCTTTGTTGCAGCTTGGAGACCCACAAGGCAAGGTGGTAGAAGGTACAATCTTTCATGTAGTTGCGGATGACCTGTACATTGACTTTGGCAGCAAATTTTACTGTGTTTGCCCTCGACCTCAAAGAAATTCAGAGTAAGTACAGGCTGCAGTATACTGTATGCAGTTTATCAAGTAGTGGGTATATACTATTGATCTTTGCTTCATATGTCTGTACCTTAACTCTTAAGCCAAACCAAAATTCTGCACTTTTTAGCCTTTGTTCTGCCCCATTCCTGCTCATTCCTTGGGTGATAAGTTGCACCAGAGGGGATATACATAACCCTTTAGTATCTGAAGTGTTTGGTGCATCAGTTGTTGATGCAGTAAGTCCTGGGGTATTCATGAAAATATAATCTCCATATGCACCACAACACATGTGAGGCAGTGACTGTACTGTACTTTATAGTGCAGGAATATTTAATATTCACCATTAGACTGTAGAGGTTCATTACAGTTATAAATAAATTTTTCGTTGATTGGATCTCATACAGAAGTTATTGAGAAACCACCCCATCGGTTGTGATGTAGTGTGAGACTGTGAGGCCCAGCCAGACATATTGTTTGAAACTTTTATGGTTTAGTATATGAATAAGGAAAGCTAAACTTATCCATAAAACATTTTATTATTTCCATTGACATCAGATCAACTCTAGGACACTAAACACATCAGTTAACATACAACATCTTGAGAGCATCTTGCCACTTTTTCATGTGTAACATTCCTGTGAGCCATGATAAGTAAAACTCAACATGTATATTATAGTTGCCCACTCTTCATACAGTACAATAGCTATAAAATTTTTAGGTTGTCTTTAGAAACTGACCAGGACCAGTACAGTGGGACCTGAGATATCTCTAACAGTGCCTTGGCATCTTTCCGTGCTGTGGAAAAAATTTTAACATTAGATTTTTTGTGTAGAAATTTTAACTGGACAAAATTTTATTTTGTAACAATAGATTTCTGTAAAGTGGGTGTCAGTAACAGATTTCTCTTCAGTATATTGGATATTCCCAACAAAGTATGTCTTTTCGTCCAAATATTGGGAAAATTGTCCGATATTGACTAGACTCGGTACAGCAACTGACAACATGTTGAGGATACTCGTTTGGATGGCTGACTGTTCAGCTATTCGTGCTATGTAAACAAAGCACCATGAATTTAATATGACACAATAACTCATCTGTTTGTTTTTCCTAGGAAAATTTAGTAATTTATGATAATGTTTTATTAACCTAGTACTCAGTGAGCTTAAATAAAATGGGCATTGTTGGGGAAATTTCTTACTGTTGCTATATAGGTATCGTGCGGTGATGTAGTGGTCTGAGAGTGGAGGGAGGGAGGGAGGGGATTTTCCGCTTAATCCAACAAGCTACCAACCTTACCTCTCCCACAGACAATTGACTTCCCATTCTTCATTTTTCTTATTATATAGTTTTATAATATACAGCTACCACTGTTAAAAATTGTCAAGAGGAACATTCTCCTCAAGACGGCTAATGATGATGTGATACCCCTAGGATCAATTTGTGCTTCGGGGTGCAGCCCAGTTGTTATTTTGGAAATGCAGATTTGAAGGCTATATGTTCAGTTCTGGGATTAAGGTGAAATACAGTATTTAATTAAACAGCTTTCTAATGGTAATATAATCAATAAACCCATAAATTGGACATATTGAATGATGTTATCCATCGCTTTTCTTCCATGTAATACTAGGAGTTTCATTTACAGTAGTCCTCGTTAATCTAACACAATTGCTCCAGAAGGTCGTTCGTTAACTGAAATTTTGTTAACCAAACCATTGTTTCAATGGGATTTTGGGTAACTGGTTCCATTATCAAAAATTACATACAAACTAAAAATAAATGCAGTAAAGTACACTTACTTTGAGGTGTTGTAGAAGGCTCCTGGTTGATGATGATGATGGGAATTAGAATGGGGTGGAGGAGAAGGGAGAAGAGAAAACATTGGTGGAGGAGAAATCACCCCATGCCTCCATTTCACCCATAAAATTTTAGTTCACTGGTGTAATTCAAGATTATTTTCTTAAATCAACACTGCATTATATAGTCAATATGTAAAATAAACTTCAGAATGACCAATACTGTAATTGTACTGTAAAAATGTAAAAATATTTTATGTTCAAGAGCTGCCTGAAGCAAGATGCTTCTCCTGAGCAGGGACACACTGACTCCATTTTGGGTGTGTTGAGGGCTGTTTGGCTGCTAAAACTAGTTCCCGAACTTCAGTTATGTTAAATAATTGTTAAAATGACTAAAACTTTAATATAATACTTGGAAAATTATTGAATTGTACAACCTTCTTGATATTTACTCAAATGGTAACGAATTTAAGCCCTAAAACTGATTACTGTATTGGCGGACTATACTACAGCTGGTGAGCAGGCGAAAACATGTTGGGGAATTAAAGAAATTCGTTAACCAAAATTTTTTCGTTAACCGAAGTGAAGAATCTTATGGAAGGTAATTCGTTAACCGAGGCGTTCGTTAACCGAGGGATCACTGTATAAATAAGAAGTAAATATATACGTGATACACACTGAAGCAGAAGTTTAATTCAGTTGCATGAGATTGATGTACAGTACAGAATCAAACTATTATAGCCTAGAGGTGTTATTCCAAAACATTTGTCTAAACTTCAACTTGTAATTTGCATGTAATTCACAATGTACAAGGAAGATGACATTATGTCCACTTATTCAGAAATTTTGTGAGAGGAGCCAGAGTTCGCCTTCGTCTACAAGAGCTCGAGCTGTCTACACGCTTTTTGGGATCATCCACAGATATGACTTTACTGGAAGCAGATGCAACACTTTTGGGTTTAATTCGCATGCCAAAAAAATTTGAAGCCCAGAAATAGTGTACAATATACTGATTTCCATATTTCATAATCTTTAGCTAATCATATTTTATACAGTACAGTATGGTACTTGTCTTTTAGTTATGTAATATAGTCATGTAAATACTTTATACAGTATTGATAATATGAATGTGAAGAGTGTTTTTTTTATATTGAAATATTAGTAATAAATTAGTACTATAAATGCTTTTTCTTGTTTTGATATCCAGTGAATAGGATTATAATGAGTGAAATAGCTTTGTAAACCCACAATGCAGTATGCAATGTTGTATGATGATACGTGTGTTATTTTAACATACAGTAACTCGGGTATCATTTGAAATACAGACCAAGTTTAATCGTTGAGTGATGGTATTACTTTTGTAGAATTATGCTCCTGCAAATGCAATTACAATGAACCCTTACTAATTCCACATTAATCATCAAGATTAACTGCTAATTCGCCATGTTTACTGCTGTGAATCAGCAAAAATTGCCCTGCATATGTTGCATCAGGTTGGATGACTAAGGCATACTGAGAAATGCATGCAGCTGTTTGGCACAGCTCAGACCAAATTCCTCTAGTATTTCACTTTCATCAGCCCTTGGGAGTGCATATCAGTGCTGCTGTTTGACTGTATGTCGTCTGCTAGATGGTAAAAAATGAATCCATGACGTAGTCGGTAGACTGTACCAGCCTGCCGGTAAAATACAGTACCAATACATATGCTGCTGAAAGGGAGTAGCCTTTTATTTTTGTTTATCATTGTATGAACTTGCTTATGCCTAATTTCCTAGGAAACTTTCCTTTTTCTCTTGGTTTTCTAACCTTCTTATCTGTCCCATATTGTTACTCCATTTCCTTGCCATTTTTTGGTAGGATTACTAATGGGATTGGTTTTGAAGGCCTGTCTTCTGTAAAATTTGGTTACAACAAGAGGCACTTTGGGCCTTGTATGAGTTTTAAGCACTTGCTCCACTCACATAATTGGGAAAGTACTGTAATGATAACAGGGCTATGTCGATATTTGTGAGGGTAGGGTTATGTGGAATCTGTCAGCGGCAATGTGCATTAAGGTGAATTTTTTATATTTTTTGTTGGTAAAAAAATACAGTACTGTTCCACAGTGTCACTACTGTATCTAGTTAGCAGCTGTAGCCTGTATATCTCTAGATACAGTATAATGGCTCTATATCTAGATATTAAGGTGCTCTATAATAAAGCACATTAAATTTCAAGTCATAAGTAATTGTTTCCAGGCACATGTCTAGAGGAAGCAGTTGGTTATAAATAATATTCTACAAAGACAAGTTTCGAATTACAGCAATAAAAATTGCAGACGAAAATAAGGTCAATTATAGTATCACACCGGTTTTTATTTCGATATTAAAAATAGGTTTTTCCTAAGTATTTTGATGAGTTTCAAACGAATTTGATATTCATTTTCACCGGAAATCACATGTTTTGTTGGATAACTCCCACCCAACAATCATAACGAAAAAAGTTGGATTTCTTTTTTTATAATAATTAACAAATTATATTACCAACCACCCAAGAAAACCTAACCTAACCCGTTGTTCATGGCGACACTATGACTGAGCGAAAGTAATAATCTTGAAAAATTAATATATCGGTTATCCTTAATTTCCGGTGGAAATATCATAGAATAAAAATGTCTTAGAATTGATTAAAGATTACGATATATATATTTTTAATACGGAAATAAAGACCGATGTGATACTTGTGACTGAGCGAAAGAAATAATGTTGAAAAATTAATATCTCGGTTATCCTTAACTTCTGGTGGAAATATCACAGAATAAAAATGTCTTGGACTTGTGTAAACATAACGAGATACATATTTTTAATAAGGAAATCAAGACCGGTGTGATACTATAAATTCACTGAAAAAAATGACCTTTAATATACGGTAAGTACAGTACTACGTTCAGAGGTCCTCAGCACACACAGCTGTTATGGTGTTCGACTGATTGAAAGGACTGTGGCGTAATTTTCGACTCCAGCAGCACTTGTTTGACATTCTGGATTTATTGTAATAATTCTAAAAATACAACTACAGTAATATATTTAATTTATTAACAGACACCAACAGATGTAAAATTTTGCACTATGGTTAAAATTTAATGTACAGTACGTTTACAATTGGAATTGGCTAGAGATTTGGTGAGGGCCCGGTGGGCGGTGTAACGTGTAGGTCGTTTAACACCCAACAACGCTTGTGGCACTTGGTAAGAGAGTTACTGGTGTTTTTGTGTCTTGTTTGTATATAAAAATCATACTGACAGCAGTTTATGAGTGGTATTGTTTTCGCTCTAGTGTGGCCAAAAGTCAGATATCCTTGACACGTCTCTCATAATACTGTAGAATGAGCCAAATTGGATAAATGGTGTCTTGCCTGGTTGGCCATAAGCAGGCCAAGGACTAAGATTTCGCTGATCCCAGTAGCAAATTTAAGAGCTGAATTTTGGCGAGATTCATTGTAAACTTGATAATGTTTTTACACTCGCCTCTACACCTTATCCCATTTTAATTTTAATGATCATAATAATTTATATACTATACTGTACTTGTACAGGTACTGTATTTACAAATTAACCTATTTTTATTAAGTCATTTAGGATGTGGTATATATAACATACGGTATTGGTGGAGGAGACGATTAGCAATAGAAATAACTTATAAATTGCACCAAAATTTTTGGAGGTGTTATTTGAATGATACTAAACAAGAAAATGGAAATGACAATGCATGGAACCTAACAGAACCTGACCTAACCTACCTAACTTCCTATCCCCCCGGCATATTAAGCAGAAAGAACTTACTGTACTGTGATATCAGGTACCAATGAAAACACTTTTCTTGAAGCAACAATGTGGAATTTTACATTTTTTGTAGATGTAAGAGTACTATCGGTTGTTGCACTGGAACAAATATTTTAAGTGCACTGACAGATGGTCTTCCTCCACAAGCATAGATAACCGATCGCCCAAGCGGCTAATAGGATCAGTGGCGAAGAGGATAAAAGTAAAAAGTAAAGACACCATAGCAATGCCATTGAAAAACAAGATGGCTAGCCTGTAGAACAAGAAGTACTGTATTGGAACTTAGAGTTCACTTAGAATACTGTACAATGCTACTCAAAAGAATTCGGAAATGTATCAAAACGAAAACCCATAATATGGGATATGGATCCAACTACATGATTCTCATCCTTTATACATAGAATTGGTTCAAAAACCAAATGCGTGAAAAAGATTAAAAGGAATTTGCACAGGCCGTAAACAACAAACCAGGAAAAAGAAGTCTATAAAATATAATGCAAAAGAGAAAGAAGCCAATATTTGTGATAATAAAACTGCCAATATGAGGCCCCAGCATTATTTATACACAGTCAACCCTCGCTTCTGGCGGTCCCACTTTGATGTTTGGTACCCTGCGAACCGAATGCTCCCTTTCATGTTGTGTTCACCTTGGAGAAGCAGCAGAAGATGCGCTGGAGTAAGGTCAGTCATCAAAACATTACTGAGTTCTTCACCCACCACCCACCACAGCCGCCCAAGTCAGTGATAGTGATAATGAGGATATGGACTTATATGGACTTTGAGGGTTTGACAAAAGGTCCTGCAAGCCTCTGTGGTGGATAGTGATACAATTGATACAAGTGATACAGGTGAGGGCCAATAATCTGCCTCTGCCTTGGAACCAACCCCCATCCCGTGTGCCCAGTCATCTTTTCTACTAATGTAAGTGTTAAAAACCTAATAATATTGATATTTCTCTTAATTATTAATTGTGTGTGCATACCGTCATAAAATTAGAAGTTATTTCTAGCATTAGGTATTGTGTCTGAAAAGTGGAGTTTGGAATTCGGCCGGTCTCTATTTCAATTAATCCCATATGTTATGTTGTTCACTTTACGCGTTTCTCACTTTACGCGGGCGCCCGTGGGTTGAATTAACTGCGTAAAGTGAGGGTTCACTGCATGTTTACAAAGACTGGATTCACAAATTTATAGTTTAAGAGGGATGAGAACAATCTGCCCCATGGAGGTTTGTCGGTGGATTATTTATAGTAAAAAAATTATTTCCTTATTTACAAAACACGTAGACTAGCATCCAACCAACACCTGTGGAATATACTGTGTAGTACTGTACTACGTTGATACCTACTTTTCAGTCTTGCATGTTTTTCTTGCAAAGATAAAGAATGGAGTAAATATATTGAGTAAAGCTTAAATAGGGCAGCACATGTTAACTAGTGTTACTCATGCAGTACTGTACAGTACAGCTTGTTAAGGTATATCAAGTAAGACTAGGTGGATAGTGCTGTTAGCATCATGGTATCTTATTGCACCTGGAGATTTCCCTCTTTACTACTGTTTGTGATAGCCTGTCAAATGCTTTCTCTAAGTCTACAAATACGAAGTGCAGCTTTCTTTTTTCCTCACCTGCATCTCTGACATATCAGGCATAGTGTGTGTGTTCTTGGCTATAAAATGAGATTTTAGAGTCAATTCTTCATTTACGTTACAGTAATGTTGTTTTTATGTGAAACAAATCTCAGTTGGTATCAGTCAAAATGGTAACAGGGTTTTGTTTGGCATAATTTTGTTTATAACACAACTGAACTACAGTACTGTATACAGTACAATATATAGTGCTGTACAGTAAAGTACAATATTGAAAACGAAATGATTCTTAATGCCATTTTTATTTTCAGTGGTTGAATCGAGTTAGCTGGCAAGATGTCAAAAAATAACAATACAAATACTTTGAGTCTTAAGATTGTGGCCATTAATTTGGCTGCAGGAGGATCTGCCGGTGGGTTATTCTTTTGTTGTGTTTATACCAAGAGTTATCTAGTGTGTCTGTATACTGTGTAGTATACCAAGAGTTATCTACTTAGTTAATCTTATTTAATATTTATTTATGGCATTACAGTACACTGTATCATGAATATTCAGTGTTTTATCTCTTAAAATACCGGTAGATTTTACCTTACAGAAATAAATTATTTCAAGGATTTGGTTGATGGAATCAAAGAGGTCTGTCTCATAATTGCTCTTCAGTAGTTACAATAATTACTGATGATCTGATAAACTTAATTTCAGTACAGGTACTTGCCTAATAAAAGTTTAAATTAATAAGAATTTTTTTTATTGATTTGTCACAGCTAATGAATGGTGGAGAGCTGGCTTTAAAAAAAAAGAAAGGAACTGTATTCAGACCATCTTGGGACATCAAGACAGAGGGACAGTGCCAGGAAGAGCTGCATTTGCATCTCAAAGACCTTCACTCGGTCTTTGGTGGTAGTCATGATTGGCGCTGCCTCAAGGTTACTTACTGTAGCATGTTTGTAAGATAATCACTGCAAGGCCTTGGAGATACAGTGTATTCCCTTATATTCATTAGAGCAGGCCTCTTGATTCTTTTAGAAATAGGTGTTTAGATACATGTAAAAAAATTCAAAAAAATAATGTTATGTTGACCTTATAGCAGTGCTATGGTCGAAACCACTAAGCCCAAGACTGAGACCTGACATCCAACCAAGACTTTAGAAGTATTTATTTACTGCATATGCTTGTGGATAAAGCCTTTTTTTTCTACATTTATTTAAAAAGGGAGGAGGAGTTGAAATCCATGAATGATGAAGACTCGCTACAGGACCCTAATGCTGTGCTGTACTGTACTTTTTGCATTTTTATTTTCATGCCCCATTCCTCCTCATAGTTTTAACTTGAATATAATTTTTTAACCCTCTGGCTCTTTCTTGGCTTGTCTATGTAATTTAGTTATGCATGAGTAAAATAAATGTTGACAACACATTAGTATACTGTATGTCTCTCTCTTATGATACCATTTTGTCTATTTTCTTCCATTACAGTATAAAGTCACTCGTCTTGTTTTTCAGGAAAGTTACTAGCATCAATTTGCTTTCTTCCTTATTGTATAAAATAAATTCTATTAGCAATAAATTAGACTTAAAAATTATAAGTGGTAGATAGCCATATTTTATTTATTTTTTATGTTTTATATTGAAGATGAACTATTCCATTTTTAATTTTGCAGGTTTTACAGAGATATGCATCATGCATCCTCTAGATGTTGTCAAAACAAGATTTCAGATTCAGACAACAGGTGTTCCAGGTGACCCAAACTACTATACGTCAGTGTTTGATTGTATAATGCAAGATGGCCAGAAATGAAGGGCTATTGTCTCTGTATAAAGGTGTTTTGCCACCAGTACTAGTTGAAACACCAAAGCGAGCTGTTAAGGTACCGTAAATTGTATTTTGCATTTTTGAAAGTACAAGGTACTGCATCTTATAGTTTTGTAGTTTTTAGAGCATATCAATGAGGAATATGTTTATTCCTTAGATAATTCATTTTTTAGAAGGAAGTGTTTTTATTTTCTTGCATATCAGAAATAATTATTTAAATTGTTTTTAAAAATATATTAACTTTTGGAAGTGCATTACGGTACTTATTTTTTATAAGTAAATTTGGGTTCAGATTTAGTAACCAAAAACTCAAGCCAGAGTGACCACTAACTTGTTTGGTTTGTGTGACATCTGTCCACTAGATAACTAATTTTAATTTAATACAGTAGTACTTACATTGCATGTATTTTATGTCTGTGTGTATTTTGAGAAAGATTCAACTGCATGTCAAAAACATGATATTTTTCTTTCAGTTTCTTACATTTGAAATCTACAAACAGCTGTTTGGTGGTCCATCACCAACAGTAAGTACATTGCAGTACAGTATTTTTTATGTTTCTTAAACTTAGTGCATGTCTTTATGATAATTATTCAAAATTTTCGTAAATTTATTAACTTCTGTACTGAGAAGATGTCTTTCTTGAAAGTTTATACAGTATTGTACCTGTACAGTACTGTAAAAAAAAACACCATATATTGTTCTTTTATCATCTTGAAGTTAAATATTTATCAGTCTAGGTTCCATGGCCTGATGCTTGAATAGTTTAAACTTAGAAAAAATCATCCAGGATGTGCCAAGGATTCTGTCAGTTGAAGATTAAACAGTTACTGTACATCAAAGCTGAAGAATCCAACCTGCTACAACTTCATCTGTGTGCTAATTTGGATTAAGGGTCAAGGTTAGTCAGTTATTAGAGTGATGATGTTAATACGACTGGAATACTTTGGAAATAACTATAACCACAGACATGAATCAAGTCCACAAGTTAAATTGATCTGAAACCCATTCCTAATCCTCCTCCCTTCTTGACAGTGCAGTTGTGTAAGGCATTGGCTTCTGATGGCTCATGTCACAGGTTAACCTTTATCATTTGTAAGTACTGTACATACTGTATGCTTTCCAAATTAGGATATTAAGCATATTTTTGGTAGTTTGCCAAGGCTGTAATTATTATTGCTTTTATTTTTTTGTTATACAGAAAAGAGACCTAGTGGATTTATTTAGTTAAAGTTTAGTGGATTAGATACATATTGGTTAATGGATCTCTGGTAGTTTGGGTTCCTAGCCTTATCCCATGCCATTTATGATGATTTTTTCCAGACATTTTTTCTGGCTGGCTTGGGATCAGGAACAACTGAAGCCATTCTTGTCAACCCTTTTGAGGTTGTAAAAGTTACACAACAAGCAAATAGGTAAGTTTCACTGAAGCACAAATTTATGGAACATACTGTACATCATTTATGATTACATTTAAAAACTGTGGAGTTGCCCAGTAACTGAAATGTGTGAAGCATGTTTAATGTGTAGCTTACTGTTAATACTGTACAGTAGTATTTTAAGAAAGTAAAAATTGCTGTGCTATTAATTTTGTAAGTATTCATACCTCTTAGGATGCTGTTTTATCATTATATATGATACTCATTTCTGTGGAGGAAATTTACTGTAAAACAAAAAAGTTATTAAAATCGATAGAATGGTTCGAAAGTTCCACTTGAGACTTCAACAGGCAAAGCTCTCTTCTTTTCTATGAACTTCATTCTTAATTAATGAAAGTGGTGTACTCCCCACTCCTGCACATGTGTGTTTACTTCACTGTGGTACAGATTTTTGTGAAGAATATATTGGGATCCTGTTCGTAACTCGGGGACTATACCCTTTCCACACTAACCTGGCCCATAGGCCCCGCCCCTATTTCTTTACTAATAGCTGATTGGTTCATAGAAAATTCAAACTGTGTTCACAATTGGTAAGCAGACCTGTTGTTATCTAAAATAATGTTAAATATATGGATTATCAAAATGCAAATCATTTCAAAGCATTCGCACTTAAGAAAAGATATTAGAAAATTTTAGATATTTATTATAAACGGTCCATATAACTACGTGCTTATTTACATGCAGTCCAGGGGAGGTAAAACGCCTAGGGGAACCAATCTGCTATTTGTAGCTGTAGACGAGGGCCGTGGCTTACAGGCCAGCTTAGTGGAAATAATATAGGTTCATTCACTGTCATATATATATTCATTTCACTCAAGACTCGGTGAGTCTTGTCTTATGCTTATTCTTTTGTCCTCAAGCTCAGCTAGTGTGTTCATGCATTTAAAACTAATTTATTAAATTGTATTTCATGCCAGGTATGATTGGGGGACACAGTGTTACCTTAGTTGAATCTCAGTAATCAGACTACAGAATTTCAGACAAAACTGTACTTTCCTCCTCAGAGCACAGCATAAAGTTTCTCCCAGCACTTGGGCAGTTGCTCGAGAGATTATAAGAACTCAAGGATTGGGGTTTAGAGGCCTTAATAAAGGCGTCACTGCTACCATTGGGAGAAATGGCCTCTTCAACATGGTTTACTTTGGTCTTTCCACACAGTGAACACTCGAATAACTCAACCTAAGGTATGTCAACAACTACCACTAATTTGTAATGCATCATGTAAGATTACATGACTAATAATTGTTGTCATTCAAAATTAAGATTAAACTAACTTCACATCAGCACCCAGGCTTAGGACAATGAGCTCATTCTTAATTATGCTCCTTGTTAAGAGGACCTTAGCATTTGTTGTCGAAACTTCAAATTCCCTGGACAAAAAACATACAAATAAGATATGTTTTGTCAAGTTGAAATGTAATTGACAAGAAAATACAGTGTACTAATAATACAACTTGTAACTTACGTAAGATTTAGACGGTTCTTAAGACATGCTCCCCACCAGAAGCCCTACATTTGGACCCTCCTTGGGGTCAAGAAAAACTCTATTCCCCAGCAGGTACAGTGTGGTTCACTTGCTGGTTAGCCTTTTTATTTTTTTTTTATTTTTACGGGAATTAGCCCACCTGGGCACAGGCCAAACAACCCACAACGGGGTCGGGGCAAAAAAATAAGAACAGAAAGAAATTGAAAATAGAGAAGAAAAAGGTTATACTGTACTGTGTTAATCTACACCACGAAGATGCCGGAAAACCAGCTTTTTAAAGTGAGACAGATTGTATAAATATGGAACACAGAAAAAGGCAGAGCATTCCACAGTTTGGCTGTGTGAGGAAAGAAGGAGGTACTATAATGGGTTATTCTCATGCGACCGACATCCACAGAGAAACGGCGGGCACCGGGGGCAAGATGTGTGTTACGAGCCCACGGCCTTGCCGATGGTACACAGGATGCCAAATCCACCGAACATTGCCCATTAAAATACCTGTAAAGAGAGGAGAGTGAAGCAACATTGCGTAAGAGAAAGGGAAGAGAGATTGTCGACTAAAGGAGGAGAGTTAAAAAGAAGAAATGCCTTTGATTCCACCCTATCTAACAGTTGGACAGAAGGAGAGCCACCCCAGATGTGAGAGCAGTACTCCAAGCCTACATAAGCCTCACACCAGTGTAAACCTTAAAGCAAACATTTGCCAGGAGATTGAAGCCATTCAAGAAGACTTGTTACAGCAAACATTCAATAATAAATATATTGGTTTCTAGATAAGTTACTGTACATTAGTGAATCCCTGGAGCTACCACCAAGTGAATCACCCTGTACAGTATAGTGTTATTGTAGTGTATTATTATCTGTACTTTGTTATTTTTTCTAAATTTTCATATACAGTATTTGAAAGCTACAACTGCACCCTAATCAGGGAATCCGAGTTTACTTCCAAATTCAATTGAGTTTTAGCATTTTATCCGACCTTGCAGGTAAAATGGCAACAAAACCTTCAGAAATTCTTCATTGGGTTAGTGGCAGGTGTACTTGGATGCTTGATAAACATTCCCTTTGATGTTGCTAAGAGCCATCCAAGGGCCACAGCCAGTCCAGGGAGAGATCAAGTACCGCTCAACATTTGCCTCCATTGCTCGTTAGAGGAAGGGGTGATAGTCAGTAAATGTGTTATTCTATTATGTGATATATATATATATATATATATATATATATATATATATATATATATATATATATATATATATATTTATATATATATATATATATATATATATATATATATATATATATATATAGATATATATATATATATATATATATATATATATATATATATATATATATATATATATATATATATATATATATATATATATATATATATATATATATATATATATATCTATATATATATATATATATGCTGATAACCACAAGGAAAGAAGAAAACACGAAGTTCCCAAGCGCTTTCGTGTAATTCACATCTTCAGGGGTGAGTACAGACTAGAGAGAGTAATACAAATCAAGGTGTATATATACAGAGGAGGGTGAGACCAGGTCCACAATGGTCAGGTATTAGGTAATGACCCTACTAATCTTTAAATTGCACACAACGGTTGGTGGTCAGGTCAGATGGTCAAGTGACCCGGCCTTCTCACCTGATCACAAATCTTCTTAATTACAAAATTGTCCAGCTTGTACATGCCGTTACTCAAATTCATGTTGAATGCTTCGGTATGTTTAATAAGACTAGATTCTATGATGTTCCTACTGTCAATTGACTTACATGGTAATATTGAGGAGGCATTATCCCAGTCAATGCAATGCTTGTTATCCCTCAAATGAACAAACAGAGTATTGGATTCCTGGCCTGTCCTAACACTGTATTTGTGTTGTTTAATTCTAGTTGCAAGATCTTTACCTGTCTGGCCTAAGTAAAACATATTACATTCCTTGCAAGGAACTTTATAAATGCAACCAATTGTGTTGTTGGGGGAGTTCTTGATTAACATTTGTTTAACAGTGCTTGAGTTTTTAAATGCCACATTGACGTTCCAGGTTTTTTAGCTGTGCAGGAATGTGTGAGAATTTTTGTGAAATGGTAATATTAAGATATTCTTATGGTCATGGGTGGGGTTTGGGTCAGTTCTATATATATATATATATATATATCTATATATATATCTATATATATATATCTATATATATATATCTATATATATAGCATATATATATATAGAGTCTATATATATATATATATATATATATATATATATATATATATATATATATATATATATATATTATATATATATATAGGTTATTTATATATATATATATATATATATATATATATATATATATATATATATATATATATATATATATATATATATATATATATATATATATATATATATATATATATAATTTTTTTTTTTTTTTTTTTTTTTAAAGTACAAAAGTAATCTTCAAAGTTCTCGGACCCATTGTGTATGGGTCCCCTCAAAGCTGAATAAAATCTGGCATTAGCCAAATAAAATATTGAAAGTGACATCACCATAGTGAAGGGGTTAAGTAAAAGTACAAATTACTGGACCTGATCTGTAAAGTACCCTAAGTACAATGTAGTTACAGTACATGTATTTCTAATTATAATTTTATTGCTTAATGATGAAAATTTTGTGTTAGAAATAAATTAATTCTTAAAGGTACTGTATTTGCTCAGTAATGAAAATAAAAATAGGTAAATAAATATATACAGTAATTGTTTCTGCTGTAAAATAAATTGGAGTTATCTGTTGCAGCTTCCGTGCATTGTACAAAGGTCTGGTGCCCAAGGTGTTGAGATTGGGACCTGGAGCTGGTATCATGATGATTGTATATGAAAATGTCCATGGTTACCTTGTCAAGAGATTCCCAGATGATTAAGAGATGTTTTACCATCACAGAAGCTTGAGGAATGAGGATGAAAAGCCATCGGCTGTAGCAAGCTTCCATAAGATGAACTAGCCACATGGTTGGATGACTGAAAAATTTTACCAACTTAACAAGATTCCAATGTAATAATAATAGCTGGTTGTTTGTTTCTTAAAAAGCCAGTTCTTCCAGATAATTCACTGGCACTCAAAATACTACAAAGTCAAGGACCGATAATAAAAAAGTAAAAATACTACAGTGTACTTCAAAAAAAGATCACAAAAAGTGAGTATATTCTTAAGTTGTAATATTTCCTAAACGCTATAGTTCTTCATCACTGTACTTTCTTCAGGATCATAAACTTTAAAAAAAGAAAGGTCTTGAATTGTTTCTTAAAGGCCTCCACAGAAGTCAGTTGCTTCATGGATGCAGGCTGTATAGGAAAAGGATCGGGCAGCAATAGAGCATTCCTGTATTGCTATAGGCTCAAGGTGTGAGGGATCATCATTACTATGCAAAATAATTTCAGAACTTGTGGTCAGAGGATTTAGTAGGTTGGATAAATACTGAGGATCACCAAACATAGGGTCTTAAAAAAACATCAGGCATAGTTTGAACTCTATCCTAGCTTTAGTTGGAAGCCAGTGCAATTAGATTAAGAATGGGGTAGTGGGAATCCTCGGTAGGAGAGCAGAAATAAGTCTGACAGGCCTGTTCAACTCTGTTTGAACTTTGTTCAGTAGAGACCCATAAAGAATTACAATAGTCAACCCTAGACAAAATAAATGAATGTAATAGTGTCACAAACACTGTATCCAAAAACTGTTTAACAGCATATAGATTTCGAATTTGAGAGTCGCAACTCTTAACCACTAAATTTATATGCTCTTTAAAATTTTGTTTTGAGTCAAAATACACTCCAAGGACTGAGTTGTAGTTCCCAAAAGAGCCAAAATCATCTTTGCTGTCGCCTTCTATTTCCTCGGATGACGATAGTTTCTCCTAGCCATCCAAATCTTCTTATCAGACATCAATGATTTAATTTTCTCTTCAATATCCTCAACATTTATCATTTGCACATAAAGCTGTGTATCATCAGCATAGAAATGGTAGGCAACACCAGGAGCATCCAGCAGGAATGCAAGGACTACTGATATAGGCTGTAAACAGGAGTGGTCTCCAAATTGGTCCCTGTGGGATGCAAAAATACAAAGGGTCTGAAATGGTTACACTGACCATCACACATTGAGATCACTCTGACAAATAAGATTCAAGCAGTGAGAGTGCATCATCACAGACACTGAATGGCCCACCGTGTCAAAGGCTGCAGAGAGATCCTGTAAGACCAGTCTGAGAAGCATTCCATGACCATACCCATGGCCATTCTAACCCAGATCCCTCCTCCTTTAAGTGCGTGCCTTGGGTACAATTTGCCCCGAACAATTCAGCCACCTGGAATTATTATGACTTGGAGAGCACCTAAATATTTGCAGAATTATCCTACATGCTGGTGTGGCTCCTATGAAAAAGTTGCTGCTATTTGCTCTGATACCAAGAATATGGATAAAGGATTCACAAGTGCCAATTTGAAAGGGAGGAAGAAAGATGGAAAATGGGAATGTTGTTGTCAGTTTAAGGATAAGATAGTAGAGTAATTTTGATTGGATGGTAAATATGGAATTGATGAATGAGACAGACTTACACCTGAGGTTATGTGCTTGTGGCCAAATCTTTTTTTTTAGTTTTCCAGTGATGCTTCCATGGGCAACCAAAGCCAAGTGATAATGCTACTCTAAGTTTACAATTCTCAAAAGGAATCACACTCATTGGGTATCATTGCATCATGTAGAATTAACTTAAACAATTAGAAATACAGGTCATCGTCACTTAACATATATTTGTTTTAACGAAGTTGATAGATTGTGGAATAATTGTAAAACAAAGTCCATAATTTTTATAATATAGTTTTTAAATCGTGAGTTTTTAATAAAGATTTGCAGCTTTTCGTTCCTCTCAAGTTTGTTAACACCTGTATGGCATGGGGCTCCTCCACTAGCCCATACCTTGGTAGACTCACTTGCTGTGTTTGTTTGTGTAGTTTCACCACCAAGCCTCGATATGCTACTGCTTCATTTGACTAGTGAGTAGTGTTATTGTGTTTATGTTACTTGTATATATATTTTTTTTTCTGTATAATAATTTTTGGTGAGTTTTAGGTACAATATTTTTTGCTTGGAACCTATTTGTAACTTATAACATAGCAGTAGAAGGGAAAACATGTTTCACTTAACATATTTTCACATAATACATGTTTGGAATGCACATATACGTGATGTTAAAGTGGTATCGCTGACGTACAAAAACCTAAAAGTTTATTGATATAAACTTTAAAAAGTAGATTGTTATAAATGCTATTGATATACAGTATAGTCTCATTTTACCTGGTCAATTAAACCCATGGAGGTCTGCGTATAACGCGAAACGCGTAAACAAAATAACAACATATGGGATTAATTGAAATAGAGACTGGGCATACCGCCAGACTACCCTTTTTCCGACACAATACATACGTTGTGGTAAAAATAACATCTTAATTTTATGATGGTATGCACACACAATTAATATTTAAGAGAAATATCAATAATATTAGGTTTTTTAACACTTACGTTAGTAGAAGAGATGGCTGGGCACACGGGGATGGGGGGTTGATTCCGAGGCAGAGGGCAGATTATTGGCCCTCGCCTGTATCACTATCCACCACAGAGGCTAGCAGGGCCTCCTTGTCAAAACCCTCAAAATCCATATCCTCACTATCACTGACTTGGGCTGGCTGTGGTGGGTGAAGAACTCGGTTATGTTTTGTTGACTGGGCAAGCAAGGTTAAATAGACCAATCACAGCTCGTGGCGGAGGGGATGTGCGGGTGGTAAGGATGCATGGCCCAATCACAGTCCGAAACGTCATCTGACATCAGCGGTGACGTAAGAGTGACCTAGCGCCCAGCTTGTCCTCGCCGCTTCCCGCGTAAATTCAGGAATGTACTGAGTAACTAATAATTGGCCCGTCTGGACAGGTGCCGCGTAAATGACCAACTGCGTATAAAAAATCCTCGTAAACCGAGACCATACTGTATTTATAATAGTTGGGAATTTCTCAGATTTTTTAAATTTTTAATACAGTATATAGAGCATGTAAAGTATATTTAGCTTTATTTTTTGCACAAAGCTTCTTGGTGCTCTGATCAAATAGATTATAATACAGTATAGACTTTAATTGATTAGGCATTTGTTGTGGCTTCTTGTGTTCAACTTGAGGATGGACTCTGAAGAATCCTTTTCTAATGCTGAAATCATCAAAATTTTAATACCTTCTTGTTTCGAAGAATGAACAGTAATAATCAAATGTTTGCTAAAGAATTCTTCTTGTACGTTTACGTATCTTGTTCATAAAGCAATACTCAGTGGCTTTCACTAAGAATTTAGTGTTAATGAAAATGTGGGGGGTTGCCAAAACAAAGATGGGAAAACAAAAAATAAAAGAGGTGAGAAATAAGTTAGAATAATCTACAAGGTGTTCCATTTGGATGGAACTACCTGTTTGGGGGTAATGAAAACTGAAAAGGTTATTGGTATTTTTATTTTTTGTACAGTACTGTACGGTATATGTTGTCATTATTACTAAGGCATTTTTGTAATATTTCTACCCAGTTACTGTACTGTGAAATCTGTTGAAGATATTTACTGTAATTTGAGAAAAGGTTTCATTAAAGTCTGCAGGTGTCTGCCTTGCAATACTATTATGTGGTTCACATATTGTGTAGTTCATTTAAATGGAACACCCTGTACAATTATTCTGCTGCTGCCGATCCCATCATGGGTGTGCGCGTGAATGATAGAGAAGAAGAATAGTTCATGCTTTGCCATGTAGAGGTGGAGCTAATAAATAAAGAAATGAAGTTATTTTTCAGCTACAATAATCATCACCTCTAATATTAACCCAAGCCTTAGTTTGAGTGTAGTGCTGATGTCAGTGTTGGAATTGTAGAATAGCTTTATACTGTGCAGTACAGTGTACTCAAATTTATATAAGAGAGCTAAAAAATGTTTTTTAACACTGCATAAAATGAATATGTATAACAGTTGATTAGTGTTGTTATAATGTAATTTTGCATAATTAAACTGCAGTATAAAAGAAAAGTGGCAGTACAGTATAAATAAAAACACCAAAGGAGAAATACTGTACTGCTTTCTTAACACTTACTGTCTCTAACAATTATCTGTTGTATATGTATCTGTTGCTACACTCCTATATTTAATGGTTAATGATCATTTTACACCCCCCCACCTAAAAAAAAAAAATAATAATAAAATAACATTTTTGTCAGTTAGCTTTTTTAAGTATTTTGTTAAGAATTGCACAAGATGACATTTTAAGCACATGTCACCTATTTACTGTACTTTTAAGAAATTAAGGCAAAAAATCAGGGATGCCTCTGTTAATACATTTGCACAGGCAGAGTAAAGTAGGACAGCTGGACAAGACGAGGTAGAATGGTGAAGAAGCAATATTAATCTTGAATACTGTTCTCTTATGTCTAAGTGTATGTGGAAGATTACTTCAGTAGTAGGGTGTGATATGGAAAAAAAAAACAAATTACTTGGGGAACAGACTTCATATTTTTATGGTAATCCACAATAGTAATTCCAAATAACTTGGGCAGATCGCTTTGCTGTACGTACTACAACTGAGATTCTAAATCCCATGGTCTATTGCGATCATTAGAATACAGGTACTCCTATAATTACATTCCAAACTTTAGCAATACAACATTTGACTTCGCTTTAACATTCCACAGGAATAATTCATGTAACCACTTTTTCATTGTTTTGGTATTTTGTAGAGACAAAGTTTTTAATTTCACTTTCAAATTTTGTGGTCAGTAGGATGTATGAATTGCTGGTTTATTTACATTTTGCCCATAACAAAAAAGAGTGTACATTCCTTATAAAGTTGTCATAACTATGCATCTAGGTACAGTTTTTTTGTATCCAGATCAAGTTTGTAGGATTTTCCTGTTCATGTCAGGTAATGACCATCCCATTAAGGGTAAGCATCTAAATGATTTGGGAAGGAATTTTTCATATTTGTTTAATTATCATTTAAGCAGGTGCACCATAGTTGTACCAAGACTTGTATGACTGATGTGTGAAATTTCATTTTATGGCCAAGGGATGAAGTGAGTGTTGTGCAAGATCCCAAATGATGAACACCCTGTCTCAGCGCTCACTATGTCATGAAGTATAATCATTTGGTGGCTGTGTTGGGTCTGTCTGGGATATGTGAATATACGGTATACTTTCTGGATTAATGATTCTATGTTCTGACTTCACAGATTTTGATAGGTGAGTTTTTGGAGCTTTTGACTACTGCAAAAATTGGATGACACATTCCACAAATAATTTAGATGTCTTTGAAAAATAGAAAAGGGGTTTTCTTGAATGTTCTTAAGAACAATGCAGTTTTTATAAATCCAGCTCTTCATCCAGCATACCAGGAACTTTTAAAGATATCCAGCAGAGTAATGATTTTCTTATTTAGCTATTCTGTATAGTACAGTATAGCATTTAGATCAGCAAGAACATTCACAAAGCCATATCCTTGTGAAGACAGAACTTAACCTGTGAGAGGCAAGAAGGAATCCAGGTCATCCACCTCAGTCTCTGCCTATGAAATCGAAATTCATTCATTAGTCATTCCATTATGGTTTATGTTCCTCAGTGAATGACAGCTAAATATAGATCCAATAGCAATAATAATAATAATAATAATAATAATAATAATAATAATAATAATAATAATAATAATAATATAATATTAAATAATGTGTCCTGCTGCTAATATAACTATACAGTCTGTTCACTCGAATCTTGCAACTGAGGCCTAAGGTCAGTTTATAGTAAGTCAAGTGATTGGTTGGCAGGAAAGTCACTACGTACATCTCTTTGGTGTTTAATCTGTTGTATTTATAGTATATTTTAAGGGATAACTATTCTTTGTTGATCTCTGATGTATAAATAACAGAAAAATATAGGCCAAGTAAGATCTCATCCACTATTGTTAAGTTATATCCCAAGGTATAACTGAAATTATTTAAAAAAAATATTGTACAGGTATCCATTTATATCAAAATCCTATTATAAATATTTTTGTGATTGTAATTTAAATCTAGATTATCTCCATAATGATGACCTTACCATTTAAGTTATACTGTGCTGTACTGTACTGTACCTCATGCAATATAAAGACATCAAATATCATGTAATGCGGGTATACCTTGTATGATGCACAAAACTATGCTCAAAGATCTTCACACTATTAATATGTAGTATGGTTGTAATTTATCCATGATCAAAGTTCAACCAAATGGTCTTACTCATATTTAACATTTTGTACGTGTTCTTTCTTGCCTATCATATTACTGTACAGTATATTTATCTTTAATGTTTTCTCTCATCCCACCATCAAGTTCACTGTGGCCATTAGTGGGATTTGGGGGTGATCATCAAGTGATGGTGAGCACCACTCATGGAGACTGGATATACAGTACAGGTATTCAAAAGTATAGTGGAATTATGATCATTACAGTCTGAAGATGTACTTTAGACATTAATTCTATCATATACTGTATATGCAGTATACAGTATATGGCTGTGGAAATCAGGACTAAAAATATTATTGATATATAAAAACCTATTTCTATTTTATCATTATTAAACTGTACTTCTGTTTACTTAAGGTGATTCAGGTTTTTCAAGTACAAGAAAATATGATCTTTATGAAATGTTAGTGTAAGAAATTTAGCATCTTTTAATGCCCTTCACACACCACTCTTCATACTACTGAATGCTGAATCGTCATTAAACTTACCTCCACTGTCTACTGCCTATGATTTCCACTCTTCCGTTTATTCTCCAAACCTAACATCTTTCTTACTAATTTGGCTCATATCCTACACGAATTGCTTTCCTCCCGTGCCTTCGACCGTGCTATTTTCTCCCAGCCTATATTTCATTCATTGCTATACTGTACCTGGCTATGCTGCCTTCAGAAAGCTAATGTTCATGTGGAATTTTGTGAATATCCTCACCTCATATCTTTCTCATCTATAGTTTCACTGTGCAAAGTTGCATTCTGGAGTTTCTTACAACAACATTTTTTAAGTCACTGTTCATAGACCACTTCAAAAACTTTTTTCCTTCCACTTTCTTGCTCTGGAGTTATATTTACGGTTACAGTTATTGAACGTTTATTTTCTTCCTCCTCTTGCCAGATCAATAAACCATTCTGCTGAGCTCCTTTTGACAGAAGAAACATAGGTGTAATACTGTATAATATATGTGGTACATACATGAACTGCAGGAGCTTCACACCTATACCACCATGGATTAGTAATTTGATATCCCTGACCAAGTAGGTGAGGGAGAAAGAATCAGCTGGGCGAGCAGCTGGTTCTTTCTTGAAAAACATCCTCATTG